ATGTTTTCAGTGTCTACTCACTGGTCCCTCCAAAGGCCAATTTATAACGAATTTTAAAGGAAAGGAAGTTTCTGTAAATTTGCTGTGAACCAAAGCTGCACAAAGAGAAGAATCCAAATGAAATTTTCACCTTTCCCCATCTGAAGGAGCAACAGACTATGAATCTCATTTGGAAACAGTCACATGGCCAGTCAGCACATACACATCAGTCCACTGATCAGCATACACATAGCTCCTGCCTGGTTTCTGTGCATGCTGCTTTGTACGCCTTAGGGATCAGAAGGGAACAGGAGGAATGCTTAAAGTTTAGAGATAAAAGATGCTTGGTGTTTGACCCCATATGTGCAATGGAAGGTGCTTTGGAGGTACACCTTATAAAAGATGGATCTTCGTGTTGTACTCTGGTTACTTCTGCTGCTTAGCAGGCAGCATCATGGGAATAGGCATCCTCACTAATGTACTTGGCTATTCAGTGTGTAGTGACTGCCTGACTTACCAGACTTATACAGACCCCCTGGGGCAACGGGGGATGTCTGACAGAGGTATTGTGCTTCAATCTCTTCAAAACAAAAGAAAGGACTGTATCACAGAGGAAGCTACTGAACTAAAGGAATTCTATGCTCAGTATGTGGAAATTCTCTAATCAACGTAAGCTACAAGGCCTCTTTCCACCCATCATTTAAAATCTGACTAACACACACAAAGAAAGCTTTAATATAATTAAATGAACCAAAGCATAAGCATATCACTGTGCACATTTGCACACAGTATCACTGAAGTTCCATCCTTACTCCTCTTTCATATCTCCTGCACCCTAGAAGCCACTGGTCAGTGCCTATCAGGTCAGAGAGCAAATGCTGTTGGCACATGAGACTCCAGAGCAGATCAGCCAAAGCCCAGGGTTTACAAGTGGGTGAGCCACAGGCTTTGCTGTAGGAAGTGCAAGAGATGAACCGGCTGTAGTAGGGAGTGCAGGAGATGAACCAGATGTGTGATTGTACTAACTCAGGTGTGAGACGTGACAAGCTGGACTGTGCTAACACTTAAGCAAAGGGTGATGACCTGGAAATGCACCCGTGATAGCTGGATATCTGCCAATGTGGCAGTGAAAACTGGATTCCTAATATTCTAGTGGTGTATGCTGGTTTATTGTAGTGATATTCAGGAGTCAAACAAAACAGGGCATCCCAACTGCAGTGCTAACAGAGGTTAATAGAAACTTTCTGTGCCCATGAGCCTGTAATTGGCACAGACAAGGCATGTGAAAGGTCAGAGCAAAGAGCAATATCATGTTTTGTTCTTCAGAGCCCCAGGAAGAGCTGTGTTTCTCCACTTCCCTATGGCTTTCACTCCACAGAAGTATAATTAAAGAAAATAATGGAGAAGCACTGCTGTTGGTACTGCTTCTGTGCAGCTGTATGAAATTATACTGGGTCTCTAAAAAATATAGGGTTTGGCAGGCTGGTGTTGCCAGTTGGATTTCCATGTCAAGCATGTATATAGAAGATATGCCAGATTTCACACAGGTGGAAGTGCATGGCTCTGCACACGTGTGCATGTACAGGAGATAGCCTCTGCCTCCCTCCTAGAGTATGCAGTGCCTTGAATAGTTAAAATGTCTCCTTTATTTCTACTGTCAGTGGAGTTATACCTAACAAGGAATAGCAACTTAGCTTGAAAGACCTGGAAGTGACAGTGTCCAAATGCTGTGAATCAGAACAGAGCATTTTAGGGTAAAATGTTAGCGTTCACAAGCAGCTGAGTTCACATGCAGCACAGGCACGAGAAAAGCACTAGTCCCAACAAACTGTGCAGGCTAAGCTAGTCCTTCATCACTTAGATCCTTCAATGCAGCTTTATACTTCTCCTGTTAGAGCTTGTCTTTCATTTTCCTGCTCGAGCAAAGCATCTCCCACTCTCAGAAATCTCCCCCCTGTCTGTGAGATTTACCAAGTTCCCTCATTACTTTAACTTGGCTAATGAAGAAGCTGTTCAAGGCTGACTAGAGAACTGCCAGTAAGATGTGTGATTTGAATGACACTTTCACTCTCCCTTTACAGTTTTCTTGCTCTGGCATAGTTTTTATTAGCAGTAGGTATCCCATGCCCAGGGAAGTGCTGTGTGTGAAAATCCAGGTAAGAGTGAGCTGTAGCTGAATTGATTACTTCCTTAACAGTTGCCTGCTTGCAAAAGCAGTAAGTACAGAGAAGACATAATATGCAATACTGCTGAGATCCATGCCATCTTCACAACTTGGACAGGACACAATAAGCAAGGACACAAAAAGCAAATGTATGGCTAGATGGGAGCAAGAAAACTGTGAGAAGCAGCTCATCCCTTCACAGTGCTTCTAGACCAGCAATGGAAAGTGGAGCAGGCACCCCTAGGTGCAAACTCACTTGCCTAGTGGTAGTTAGCGAGCAATTAGCAGGACCTGTCATTAGGATTGACAGCAGCACTGGGGAGTATACCTTCAGCCGGAGTTACAGGACACACAGGCAACTCTCTAAATGGGTCCTAACAGGGTTTTTTCCACAGTCAACACTGTGAAACTTTTACAGTGTAAAGCTCCAGCGGTAAGGTGCACCCATGTGCTAGAAACCTTTATAGTGGGTAGATTTTGTGCATCCCTGAAAGCTTTTTGTCCTCTTTTGCCTAAGCTACCCCATCTGAAGAAAAGAAGCCAGAGACTTTTTTCCTAGTCAGTGTGTTCCTGGAAAGCAGCTCTGTTCCCCGCTGGCTTTCTTATTGCTGAGGCAGTACTTCATTTGGTCACTCTGGACCCTGTCTGGATGCCTCATCAGCTGCTTGTTATGGCCCGGTCTGAACTCTGCCTTCCCTTTCAATCTGCCCCATAGGCAGCACCCCTTCCAGCAGGGCCCTATAAGCAGGGCAGTTATGACACAATCCCTCCTGCCACCTGTCCACAGAACGACTGATATTGCCTCCTAACTCTGCCTGTTTTCCCAGACCCTTCCTCACATACCAAAGCAGACCTTTACCTCAAGTTGGCCTGCCATTACTCTTTCTCTCTGGATGGGGAACAGACTCGTTACCCTAATCTCTGAAGACCTTACAGTTCAACCCAGGTATGCATTTGCAGGTATGTTAACTTCTCACAACCAATTCCCTGTCCTGACAGTATTTTTGGAAGAATTTTGGAAATACCAAAATACTTTAATTTGGGGTGGGTTTGCTTTCAAATTGCATCTGACTATGTTGTCATATATCATCTTTCTAAAAGCACTGGAATTTTAACAGGAGCGCATATGCCATGACTACAGCTACCACAGGCATCCTGTGATTCTATTAGCCACAGTACACCATGGGCAACAGGAGGAAGAATGAGGTTCATTGGATAATGTGAGAAAACTGTAAGGCTATGGATCTGGACTGTTAACATCATTCTAACGAACACTGCAACTTGGAAAAATCTCACACAAAGCAAAATATTTTTGTGGGTTTTAGATTTTTGCTTGGAAAATGTTGGCAAAATGGAAATTTACAAGAAAAATCACTATGCTGAAATCCACATTCTCATCTTAAAATCATTTGCGAGAGAATGTAAAATTCGGCTTGGAGATGCCTCATACCCATGCATTGTGGAATCCACTTACAAGCATATTTGGTTAGAGGCTTTTGAGAGTGCAAGATGACTCCCAGCCCTTCAGACACTCTTGCAGTTTGATCTTTTTGTTTTCTCATCTCTTTGCTCCAGGCTCCCAGACTCCAGTGAGCTCTGGAGAAGGGCTTCTGTTAGTAATCCTCCAAGACTGCCTTTTCATCCCTCAAAATTTGCCATGGTGACTTTGTCCACTTCAGATACCTTCTCTATGCAGGCAACTCACTCCTAAGTCTTTCTTCCTGACAGACCTCTTTCCTTCTTCCCATATTTTAACAACTCATATACAGATAAATCTTTCTTATCCTGAGCCGCAGCATTGCTTCTGTTCTGCAGTATGAAGGGCATTCTTTTTCTGTTTATAGCTTTTCACTTCTGTCCACATTTACACAGTGTAACTGCCTGGAAACCAGCAGCATTTCTGTTTTGATCAAATCATTCATCCAGCCACCCAGACTTGTTCATGCTGGATTAAGTACGCATAAAGGATATCCCCTGTCCCAGCTGCCACAGGAGTAACCTGTGGTGCCTCCCACCCCTCTGCAGTTAAATGGGGTCAGTTTTTCAGACCCTTTGCCTCTTCAGACCTTCCTGTTGCAAGGATATGTATACTGACCAGTTGAGGAGTGAACACATTAATCTCTTCAGGATCATGATCTCTGGTGTTTTTAACTTCTGTGACAAATACTGACACTCTATCCCACTGAATTTGGCATACTGCGTACTTTTGTAGCACTGCGTGGTGTCTTTCCTTTATTCTACTGCTCCATTTGCACACTCGCAGGATACAGGCACAGGAGTCACTGCTAACGCAATAAATGACTGAAAAATTTATGTTGTGAAATGACTTGTCTGTCAGGAAAGAACTTTGCACGTTTAGTTGTTCATGTCACATGGCAACAAAAAATCCACTTGCCTTAGATTTATTCATACAGAATACTGTCAAGCAAGTCTGTCACATGGTGCTGTGTTTATTTCAAAGTTTAGATGGTTTCTGGTGGAGGTGTTAAAACCATACAGCATCCATTTCTCCTGCTGCAGAATTGGTCCTCAGCCAAGACACTGAAGTTGTTTTGCCTCTTCATATTCTGACAAATTCACTCAGGTGAGCACTAAGCAATAGCCAAAGCAGCTGCTTTTGGATGACTGTTCTTTAACCACGGGGTGAAGGGCTGAGTGAATTCCTCCCCCTCTCCACGCTGGCTACCCTGTGTTTTGCCTTCCCTCTTTCTCCTGCACTCTTATAATTCCCCCAGAGGCAAGGGTGCGGGTGACTGGATATGTTAAAAGTCACCTGATAGGATGCTGCCCAACTCCCTTCTCTCTGCATAGCATAAGCTCTCCTCCCCTGGCGATAGTGGGAGCAATTCTGCAAGGCTCTGCTCAGCAGACTGCAGTTTCGTATAAATGCAAAACTGAAACCCATCTTTGCATGGACTCCTTACTGTGCAGGGGGCTTGTGTGTCTTCTTGCCTTCTGTTTCTTTCCCCAAATCTCTCTTTTCAAAAGGAAGGTCTATTCTGCTGCTAGCAATGCATTCTGAGAGGTGGCTATGTTGCTGTTACCCTGCTTTCTGTGTGTTGGCATTCATGTTCACATCCTTGATTAAAGGTAGGATCTCTTTGATACTAGTCTCTAAAATATTTGCTAGTCACTGTCTTTACTTCTTTTTTCCTGTAATGAATTCAACGTAAAGCTTTTACCAGCTATTTCTAACTTGAAGTCTGTAACAATATTTTAAAAGAACTAAAGCAACACTGGTTTTCACACATAAACCACTGAATTTTGGTTTGATAACTAATTGAGGAACTGTTTCTAGCAAAGAATGAAAATGAAATAGGAATTATAGTAGTTTCATTTGATGCTTAAATTTGCAATTGCTTAAAGACTGCAGGCTAAAGATGTGCATGTTTCGTTCTCGCACCTTCAGAGTTCAGAACATGATATATTTATTTCACCGTTGTTTGTGATCTGTGGTTAAACGAGCTGAAGTGATATACATGCACAAGTCTCAGAGAGGTTCCGCAGGATTTTTGCTTTTAAGACATTACATTGTTTTTTTGGTTTATTTTTAAAGTCTCACTTCTGCTCATGACTGAGACAACTATGAATCACGGTGCCTGTGTTAGCAAGGCAGAAGGCATTGTCTTAAAGCAGCACCAGTGGGATAAGAATCTGTAACTGAAGTATAAAAATGAAAGTCTGAAATAACTTACCTGTCCCTGTTATTTTGTTTTTAAGGCACATGTCTGTTAAAAAGCCAGGAGGAATATTTCAAATGAAAAATGATTTTAGACTTACTGGCTTTAGTCGTGAGACTTTGACAAGAAATTCATGTTCCCATGGTAGGGTAATTCTAATCACAGTGCGATAGATGATGATGGGGAAACTTAAAAAGGAAATCGACATTTCCTTGTTGAATAGCACACTATGTGATACACAGACATCCAGACTTTACAGATGTTCATGTATCTTCTCTAAATGATGCTAAAAGATGAAACAAAAAATCAAGTTACGGAAATTTTACTTGATTTTTCTTTCCATATACGTAAGTCACCGATAGCCAACATTTCAGATTTTGTGATAATCCCCACAATCTGAGCATGCTTTGAGCATACCTTAGAGGCAGAAAAACCTGGGGAAGGACAGCCTAAGCATGAAAACACTGCAGTACACTGAGACTAAGCACCTCCCTGTAGGTCATCTGTGCAACCACAGGCCTTTGTGTTCACTGAAGAAAATGTAAATGTCCCATGCTGTGCTAGAGTCCACACCGCCTGATGCAAACCCCTTCTATGTTTCAAATTTGCAGTCATAAAGGCTTATCATGACTTCTTTACTGATATGTTCTAGCACAATCTGGGCACACAAAAACTTATGACCATTTATCTGAAATACAAATTTTTCCTCAGTTGTATCAGTAATATTGTTGGCATCATCATATAGCTTTGATAACATAGCTGTGCTCAATATGAAGAGCAAGCAGTGAGGCAGCTTAGTGCCTTTCTTATACCTTATTCCTGCTAAGTCACCTGGTCTGTCCTGCGTTGACTGGGGGTTGCAGCTATGATCTGCTTGTTCCCAAAGAATAGGTCTCTATTACAAAGATGCATGCTATTCTAGAGAAATTTTAATAATTCCACTTTTTTCTCATAGAACTTAATAAATGAACCTTTTTTAGAGCAAAAGTTGTGCTATTTGAAGAGCTGAAATAACGAATATGGGGATAAAATGTAGTCGTATTTTTTTAAGACTAGGAGGCATCATTATAACAACCTAAGCAGGGTCTCTGACTTAGATTTAGACCCAGTAGTTGCAGCCTGAAGTTTTTAATTTCTGAGTAAGTAGCTATGCTTTTCACAAACTCTCAGTTTTACCCTAAAAAACCTTCCAAAGATGAAATCCAACACATTTTTACTTTTTCTGCTTCATACCACTTTATTCTACCTTGGTCTGATAGCAGTGGCGTTGGGCCAAAGAGAGGCCCATAGGCTAGATCTAGCATAGGAGACACTTTGAGAAGGAGCAGTGGGCAGTATCCTGTCGAAGAATGCTTTCAACTGGCAGCCCTCTTCTGTCCATACTCCTGTGTCTTGATACATGGTCACAAGCACAGCATCCAGAAATATAGTATGAACCAGTATGTTACCTACCACCTTCTTTCCCTCTTCCTTACCTCTGACATAGCTGTTCTTTATTTCTATCTTACACAGATACCACAGCCTGTGAATCAGAGGAACGGTTGTTTCACAAACTTTTCTCCCAGTACAACCAGTTCATCAGGCCAGTGGAAAATGTGTCTGATCCTGTCACTGTGTATTTTGAAGTGGCCATTACCCAGCTCACAAATGTGGTAAGGCTGCTTACAGAATACTGCTTTGTTTTGGGGGTGGTTGCAAACACACAGTTACTAAAGCAGCAGATGTAATCATAATGGTTGCACCTATAGCTCTTGTATCTGACATTGTCCTGTGCACACTTGTATACATGCTGAGACCTTTGCTGTTCTTTCTGTCAGCTGAGCTATTCCTGTTGCTCAAATGAGCAGTTCAAACTACACAAACTGGTTTGCTTACTCTGTAGCATCAAATCCCTCCACCCTGGGCAGCAGCCTCTGGCACTCGAAGCAGCAGTACTCAAAGTTCAAGTCCACTCTCCGCAGGGCTAGCCCATGCCACAGACACTTGGTTGTGTCTGCATTGTGTAGCATGTGGGCTAGTTCTTTAGTGGAGTCCATGTTGTTTCTCAGTGGTCCTGAGAGATAGAATCTTCTTCTTTTGCAAGTTTTTTCAGTCTGTTTCAAAATAGAATGATTTGTGCTGGAAAGGACCTTAAAGCTTATCTAGCTCCATCCCCCCTGGAACAGGCAGGGACACCTTCTGCTAGACCAAGTTGTCCAAACCCCATCCAACCTGGCCTTGAACACTGTCAGGGATGAGACACCCACAGCCTCTCTGGGGAACCCACTGTGTAGCCTGCAAAGTGCTGTTTCAAAGTGCAAGGATGACAGCTGTGTGCTCTGGGGTTCACTGCATACATGGATGAGTGGGTCTGAGATGGCAGACCTGCTGGGCAGGGCAGAGGGACTGTTAGAAGAAGCAAAACCTGACCTTAACCCTTGCTAAAGTCTGCTCGTTGAAGCAAATTATCCACAGAACAGATGCTGCATTTTTATTAAAAGTTACCTAGTTGGGTTCATAATGAAGTGACAGGCAAACTGTGAGGAGCAACATTCAACACCAGCCAGGGAGCTAAGGATAAATGAAGGCATTGTAAATCAAGATAAAAGTAAGTCAGAAAAAATCTGGTATCAGTTAATGTGAAGTTCTAGTTTCCTTTTTTATCAAACAAGTTGGCCATCTCTGGATACTGTAACTGATTCATGGAGTGAAGATGTACATTCCTGTGTTTCTTTCTAGGATGAAGTCAATCAGATTATGGAAACAAATTTGTGGCTAAGACATGTAAGTGACCCTGCATTCCATTTCTCATACATTTTGCATTGATGTGATCACCTGTGTTACCTTACCTTGAAAGCTACATATACAGAATAAGTGCTTGTTTTCATAACAAGGATTTTAAAGCTATTAATAAGGAGAAGCACTATTAACCAAAGCCATATTTGAAAAAAAAAAATTGATTTATTCTTATTTCCAAGAATTTACATCTCCCATCTTTCCTCTGTGGTATCTTCTCCCCCAATTTCATGATCATTGGTTTATCTGGTAGATCTAGGTGGATGTACATATTAAAGAGGGATTAAATATGCAGCTGTGCAGCACTAGGTCATCTTCATATTGAAGTTTTCAACCAAAACATTTACTGGCAAAAGGAATATGCATCCATTTTTCCTGAGAGATTTAGCATTTACACATAGACAGAGATCCTTAGAGGACCATAAATGCTGAGCAAACCAAGCCAACTTCCACAAAAAAACCTGTTTCCTTCAGGCACTGACTGTGGTCCATGCAAAGCTTTCTGTACAAGATACTGTACTTATGATCAGGACCTTCAGGGTAGTCTGCTAAAGCATGGAGCATGGCCCCCTGGTAGGGCACTGGACAGCAAGACAGGAGAGCTGCTGGGCATCCTTCACTGCCCCTGACTTGGTAATTCACTACCCTTGTGGAATCAATAATGTCTCCTGACAGCAACTGCCTGTTGGTGTGCATACATACCTCCTTCCTCATTAGAATGCTCATCTCCTTTCACGCTGGCCTCCTCTATGCTGCAGGGTGCACTCTCAAGACAGCAACAGCAAGGCCTGTATGTATTTCCTCTCTGCAGTGTGGAGGTAACCTTGCAGAGGTAAGTGTCTATACTGATGTAGCAGGGAGAGAAGAGATCTCAGCATGGCAGCATTCCTCTCACAGACAAGGGAATGCCAAATCAATGGAGCAATATTCACTAAAGTCCAGCGTTTCTCCCAGCCTTGTTGTCTTTCAGACCATTGTCCCCCTCTACATGTGCTGCACTTTCAGGCTTTATCATAGCCTGTCATTTTACAGGAAGATCTGAGAAACAGATATTTGCTGATAATACAAGAGGTTTAAATTCTTTTCTGTTCTTCTTTCAGATCTGGAATGACTATAAGTTGCGGTGGGATCCCAGAGAATATGATGGTATTGAATTTGTTCGGGTACCAGCAGATAAGATTTGGAAACCAGATATTGTCTTGTATAATAAGTATGATGGACACTTTTCCATTTTACCCTTTCTCTCATATGTATCCTCTTGCAGTGTCCATGAAAGACATTCTGTTTTCATGGTATTTTCTTTTATTTGCCTCATTTGCTTTTCTAGTGCTGTGGGAGATTTTCAAGTTGAAGGCAAGACCAAAGCCCTCCTTCGCTATGATGGAATGATCACCTGGACACCACCAGCTATTTTTAAAAGCTCCTGTCCTATGGATATTACCTTTTTCCCATTTGACCATCAGAACTGTTCACTGAAATTTGGATCATGGACCTATGACAAAGCCAAAATTGATCTTCTCATCATCGGATCCAAAGTAGATATGAATGACTTTTGGGAAAATAGTGAATGGGAAATCATTGATGCTTCTGGCTACAAACATGACATCAAATATAACTGCTGTGAAGAGATCTATACAGACATAACATATTCCTTTTATATTCGAAGGTTGCCCATGTTTTATACCATAAATCTGATCATTCCCTGCCTCTTCATCTCATTCTTGACTGTGTTAGTTTTTTATCTGCCATCTGACTGTGGCGAGAAAGTGACTCTCTGCATCTCTGTGCTCCTTTCTCTGACTGTATTTTTACTGGTGATCACAGAAACAATCCCATCCACCTCTTTAGTAATTCCCCTTGTAGGAGAGTATTTACTATTTACTATGATATTTGTGACTCTGTCAATTGTCATCACGGTGTTTGTCCTGAACATACATTACAGGACTCCAACCACACACACAATGCCTAGATGGGTAAAAACAGTCTTTCTTAACCTGCTCCCCAAAGTCCTGTTGGTGCAGAGACCACTAGAACAGCAGAAAAAAAACTTGTCCAGAAAAAACAAGAAAGGATCAGCCCATACACCAGGCAAGTTAAAGCTCAGCAAGCACAAAGATGCCAATTTACACAAGGAGCAGCGGTGCAGTCACTGTGGTAATGCAGCTGAACTCACTACCACCAAAAGAAGACAACTGAGCCATCCATCACTGAAATGGATGGCAGAGCACATGGAATACTCGCCAGAAGTGAAGGACGTCATTAGCAATGTTCAGTTCATCGCGAAGAACATGAGATCCCAAAATGAAACCAAAGAGGTAAGGGAGGGAACCACTTAGCTGGGCATGGGGCCACACTTACAGCAGTGAAAATATGACCTAGGAGGGCAGCCCAGAGGAACTGGAATTGTCGGGTATTGAGAAGAAAATGCTTTGACCTGTGAATGGGTCAAAGTTTCCTACAGAAAGGGAGAAAATAAATCTTCCACTTGGGAGGGGAAAAAACCAGTGATCTCACCTGATCTTCCTCTATCCCTGGTGGATAATTCAGGCAAGACAGTTTTAGATGAGATATAAGGCTCACCCTTCAAAGTAAAAGCAGAAGAATATCAGCCTTTTGTGCCATGAGGAATGCACTCTGATCAGCAGTGATACAGGCAGAGCTGATCTTGCCACAGGGCAGGGGATAGACTAGACAGGATGTTTCAAGCTCTCTTCCAACCCTGCTTCTGTAGATCTTCAGAAGCAACACTCTTCCACTGCTCACTAACTGCTCAGTCCTGGTAAGAAGGGACATCTCAATACAAGGCATGCTTTTTGCTAAGCAGGGTGCTTTTCTGTGTTGGTAATGGAACAAGCAAACTTTGTGAACTGCCTTTTAAAGAACGGGGCTTGTCTAGCAGTGCAGTGGTTGATCTGGAGAACTATTCTCAAACAGTGATAAGTGTCATAAAGGTATTCCTTTCAGAGTGCTATTGTCTGTACTTTGTTTCAGTCTGGTGTGTTCTGATATTTTTAGTAATTTAACTAATTGTGGCTTCAGCAATATAGTATTTTCTGCCATGACAAACATATGCTGAAATGACACTGAGAAGACAGATTAAAAAAGGGGTTTTAAAAATGAAACTTGAAGTTTGAACTAATAGATTTGCTTGTGTGAGGTTACAAATCTTTCATCCTAACTGGGATTACTTTCATAGAAGATGATGCATATTGGAACGTAGAGAATTCCAGGGCCACATCCTCAGTGTAAACACAAGCAGCAAAAAGAACCTCCAAAAAAGAGTATCTGACGTCCCCCACACCCAGGCCATAAAAGGAATAGGAATTATTTGAAACTTCAGTACGTTTTTAAAAAGTGTTTAGAATCTCATGAAACATTTATCGTTGATCTGTCATAAAATGTTTGCTTTTGGTTTTGAAGTTTTTTAGATGCTTTATGATGACAAAAACCATTTCAGAATTAAACGCTACTGTATTTGTATTGAAAAATGCAAATACTTTGTGAGGGAAATGTTGAAAGGTATTCTTTCTATCAGAATATTTAGTTGAAATCAGTAGGAATGCATACAACTTCTGTGCAACAAAAAAAAAATACTTTTTTTTTTGTTGTATGTGTCCTGAAGAGAAAGTTTTTTTCTGTAAAAAAAAGTCCATAACTTTCTGAATAAAATCTACTGTTAAGGCGCGGTGACTGAATTCATAGGATAAGTCAGCCCAAGGCAAAAGACAGTAATCTGTCAGCACAGAGGAGGATGGGGTTTGAGCTAAGCCTTGCTAATACCTATGCTCTTAATGTTTTGCTCTCACTATCACACCAGCTGCATAAAACACATCCATGTACCATATTCAGCTGATTTCTCCCATGCACTCCAAAGAAGAAACTTTGCATGAAGCAGTCCGAATAACATGCCGCCTTGATTACACAGCTCATGATATGTCTTCCATTGACACTTCTGCTGATTTGCATTTTGCAAATCTCTCCTGCCACATGAAATTGTATTCCTAAGTCTCATGTGTGCATCAGCAGTTCTGTATCTTACCTTTCAAAATGTACTGGTGACAGGAAGTGGGATTTTTCATTCAAAATCCTCTCTGGGGAAAAAAAGGAGTGTGTTCTCAGGAAGGCACCAAGGAAATGATTCTGCAGGCTTCTTCTGCTTTGGCCAGGCATACAAAGCCATATGGGCAGCATCACACACTAGACATACATATGGGCAGTATCACACACTAGTCTTGTACAAATAAAAGCCCTTCAAAAATTGTGGTAACGTTTACAGCAGCTGGGGTTCTTGCTGCATTTTCTTTCACAAGAAGTACAGCAGCAGCCTCTTGGAGAAAAGCATCAGGAAACTGGGAAAACAAGCACAGTATCCCCCAACAGAGAGCTCTTAACGAGTCACTAATTTTGTATGTGTGAATGTTCTGATGCAGTGGTCTTTGCATGTAAGTACAATTTAAAGGATAGCAGCTCCATTGAATGTGGTTCTAAGGTGTATCTCAGACATACAAAATCCACTCTGGCCTGCTTAGCACACTACGCTGTTATTTGCTCAGTCAGGACCCTTGCTTTGCTATAGTCCATGTCGCCAGCTCTTCAGTTTGCTGAAGTCAGTGAGGCTTGGTTGCAGTGACAGTGCGCCAAATCAGGCCAGAACAGCAAACTCTTGTGTGTGCTGTCAGAATAGATCTTTGACAAGGTCTAGTAATGAGCAGCTATGGTGCCTGCTGTTAAACTACCCCACTCGGCACTCACCAAATGATCAGGTCCTACGTTAATGTCAGCATCACAGCCATAGCTTGTCAACAGGCTTGAATATTTAGAAAAATTCAGCACACTAGGACTGTGCTGGATGTTCTCAGCCAGAAGGGGTAAATGCTATTAGAAAATCAGCCCCCACTAAAGATATTTAAAACTGCAGCAACTATAAGCACAACAAGCAACATTCTTGACTGTATACATGTTCTTCCTCACATTCAAAAGCAAAAGGGACATATCTATTCCATAATGTCATAGAATCATAGAATAGTCTGGGTTGGAAAGGACCTTAAGATCATCCAGTTCCAACCCCCCCTGACATGGCCAGGGATGCCTCACACTAAACAGTGTCTCCTAAGACTCTGTCCAACCTGGCCTTGAACACCACCAGGGGTGGAGCATTTACCACTTCCATGGGCAAAACTTGCAACTACATGTTACATTACATATAGTTTATCCTTTTCATTTTTTTTTTCTCTTGCAGGTGGAAGATGATTGGAAATACGTAGCTATGGTAATAGACAGAGTATTCCTCTGGGTTTTTATAATCCTCTGTGTGTTTGGGACTGCAGGGCTCTTCATCCAGCCACTAATAGCAGATATGTAACTCGATTCACCGCTTTTTATCCACTTCTGTTCTTGGTTCATTTTCGGTTCAGAACTGTTCCCTGTATATCTGTTCTCTTACATAACCCCTTTCCTTATCACCCCCTCAGCATCCAGCCACAGAGGAAAGGAAAAGGAGAGGGAAGGGTCCACTGGGAAAGCAAACAACCTAAAACAGAATAAGAAGAGGACTGAAAATGGGAGATGGGCATGGGGTCTCTCCCTCAATGAGATCAGCAATAACAATCACACTGATGATCAGAGGAGCAGAATGAATTTATTGAGCTTTTCAGTTGGTTTCAGAATAGGGGGCTACTAGGTCAGCTCTGGCACTTCTGAGTGCATTGCCCAAAGACGATTCTACCCGGCTTAATTTTCCTCTCCTGATTATAACTCTCCCTCAGCTTTGAGTTAATTTACATTTTCTCTCTATTTCTCTCCCTGTACAACAGCTAGTTTTTTTGGCATGGTGCTTAGATGAGCTACCACAGTCCTGACCATGCCAATGCTCTTTCTCCTGTCCTTGTTTGAAGGTAGCAAATAAAAGCACAAAAAAACCTAATCCCCCAACACTGTAACATTTTCAATACAATCTAAAATAAGGGCCCCCCATCTTCCACTATATATGTGCACAAATGAGAGTCCCAGATCAACAAAGCATGCGTTTATATTTATGTTTGCAGTCAGACAGGTCTTATGCAGTTAATCACAGCTGAAGGCAAACTGACATAGTATTAGAATGTGGTTACTCTATAAGGCAACCACATTTGAAAACTACATGTTTCTGTGACATTTGAAATCCTGCGACTTTGCATGTCACCAAAGTGCCCCTTTACTTTGTGATACCAAGTACCAAGAGTTTCATGAGCTTCAGCAAGTTTTCCAAGCCACATTTCTCTCATCAGGTTAGCAGTGACCCCAGTCTATAGGTTCTGCTCTGAAAATCTTTGCATGCTCTAGCTCAGGTATAAGGCCAGCAGGGAAGGTTTTGTCTCTAGGTCGCTACTCATCACAGACAGTATTGGCTTTAGAGCACTGGATTGAGTTGACCAACTTGGATTACACACACCCAGCAGGAGAAGGCTGGTTATCCTGAGCACTATGCAAAGCTGCACATGCTGGGCTGAACAGCTCTGCAGCAATTTTCCATTTGCTGGCTCCTCATGAGTCAGTGCTGTGTGTGCAAACCTGTGACTGCAGGGACGTTTCCTTTGGGGCTGAGGTTGCTGCCGTATAACCAGGTTAGGTTCCCAGTCCTACTGTGTTTAATCCTGAAATACTGTAGATGCACGTTTTATGTGTTTCTATTCTATATGGACAGTTTACCCTCAGATCCCATGTCCATTTAGGATGTCACTGAGTTTGTGCTGAAGGATTCTTCTCTAAAAGACACCATTTCAATTAAAGCCAATGGCTGCAAGAGTAAAAAGCATTGCTTGCTTATAGGAGGCTCTAAATTTAACTGTCTGGTGTCTGTGCAATGTTTTTGGCGTCTGTGCAATGTTTTCAGTGTCTGCCATGTGTCAGTCTCTGCTTCGAACGTCACCAGTCGTTGGAAAGCATAACTCTGTGTTCCTGAAGTCCCTGGCTGGCCTTTTACTCTTTTTTGATGCTCTATAATAAAGAAAATAAAACTGACTAAGTGTACATGTTAGAGATAAAGATGGAATGAAAAGAATATAACTGTCTTAATCCAGTAGTTGAAATATGTAAAGTCATGATTTTCTAGAAGAAAACTGTATTTTCTGTAAACCCCCTTAATGGTGCATAAATGGTGCGACTGATAGCCAGATATACGAACAAGCATGGTTTGCTTCATCAGCCTGTCAATTAAATATCAATCCTGGGATATACTTTCTTGAAGAATTTGTATTTTTAAAAAAACTCCCTGTTTTATGATGTGTTTAGAGATGCTACTAAATGATATTTATGTGGCTCTTTAATCAGAAAGGAGGGGACTGAAAAGAAAAGGGAAGGGCTGCATTCTAAGCCTGAGAGCTGCATTCTAAGCCTGAAAGCTTCATTTTACAGGAAATTCACTGTTGCAGTCTATGACCATCTGAGCAATGAAAGTTCTGTGGCTGAAGGTGTACCGTGTTGGTGTCTTAGGCATGACAGCCACTACCCCACAGCCACTAAGATGACTTTTGCAAAATCCCTGTTTTTTTGTCAAAGCATTCACAATTGCACAGCTCCTTGCCTCCAGTTAGGGGGCCTCAGTGTCTCAGCACCAGCTCCCTGTCTTTGCCATTTACAGTACTACACAGCACCTGGCTTGCCTCTGGACCTCACAGGGTTTAGCTCATCAGCCTAAGAAAGTAAGATTTACAAAGTCACGTTCTGTCTCTCTGAGTGCACTATTTCCTCTTCCTTCAACCCACCCAGTAACTTTTTGATCCTTCTTTTGCCATTTTCAGCTGTGTTTGGCCCATTCCAGTCTTGGATCCTTGCATACTCCTGCCAGCTTTGTGAAAGCAGTTGATTGATTAAAGAGAGTGGGGGTGAGTGACACAATAAGCATCTCACCTTGAGGAAAGCTGTGGTGGAGGCCCATCTCTGAGCAGGCATAGAACCCACACAAAAGTGACATCTTTGCATGTCCCAGCTCTTCCTGGGGGATCTTCTAACTGAAATACTAAGAAAAGTTTCAACAAGAGCTGGTGCCATTCCAAGGAAGACCATTTTTACACTTTCCCCTCACTAAAAGCCCCAAAGGAGTTTGTCATATTTGTCTCACTGTGAATGATGATACACATGGTCCTGCAGAGCAGTGTTAAGGTCGATGCAAACCAGTGTACAGAAATCAAAGCAGCATATGTTGAGGCAGTAGTAAGGCAGAGGGTTGCTTGGAGGGTTTAAGATTTGCAATTTGCAATGTTGTTATCCACAGGCAGATAGAGCACATGGAGCAGAGGAAAGGAGCAGAGGACTATCTGCCCCAGTGTACTCCCTGGTTGTGGTTTTTAGTTGCAGGCCAGGCTGTGGGACGTGCTGAATATATTTGCAGACCAGTGGCACAGAGGCTCAGGGAAGCTCAGAAATAGTCAGCACAAGGAAATAATGAGTAGCAAGACTGCAGGAAAGCCAGAGCCCAAAGGCCATACCTGGGCAGAGTTCATAATATCTCCTACTCCAAGGAAGTCAGCACTGCTGACCTTTAGCAGCAGAAGCAGAAAAAGCAGCCTGGCATCTGACACAACCATGACACACAGCCATGTGTTGCCTGTGATATAAGGAAAACAAGTGCCTGGAAAACATAGGGTTAAAATACTTTTAACTTAACTTAGGTCTAAGATAGAGACCAACGTTTGTGTTGTAAGTCTGTGGTGTGATGACAGAATTTAGTAGTCTTACATGAGTGAATTATTTCTTACCATCCTTCTAATGAGTGAATTATTTCTTACCTTCCTTCTAATTATCAGTTTGTTTGGAGACAGTGACTCCCAAACATCTGCTAACTTGGGATACTCCTTGTCTGCCCATCCTATTTTGCTTGCAATAAATTTTGTACAAAGGTCACACTGTTCTAAATCTTTGCCAGCTATCAGAAACTTACAGATATGGCTGGTTTCAGCTAGTTTTGTGATCACTGGGGCATCCAACTGTGCCAAAGGTGAAAAGTACACCATGAGAAAGACTGCTTACTTCATTTTGAAGACCCCTGCCCACATGAGGAAGACTGCTTACTTTATCTTGAAGACCCCTGCCCACGACCGTCGGAGGGCAGTGCGCAAGTGCTGAAAGGGAGGAGACTTATGGTAATGACTACCTAAACTAATTGCGATAGCCCCACCACTCTCTTGGGAACCTAATGAATATGCATGTTTGTGTGTAATAAATATCTGCTTGCTTAACCCCTCGGTGTGCAAGTTAGCAGGAGTGATCCCCCTTGCACCCAGTGCCGTAATAAACATACCTGCTTTACAACTCTCTCTGAGTTGTAGAGTCTGATTCCATGCTTCACCTGCAGGTGGGCAACCAAAGTGTTGCAAGGTGAGGACAGGACCATCTGCCAGCTAAGCATCCAAAGCACTTGCCCCGGAGAGGTCATGGCTAGCTGGCAGGCTCCTTGCAGGAGTGTTCAGAGTAAAGCCTGTCACTAATGATTCCAAGAGTCTGTAAATGCTGGAAGAAAGAGCTTCCTGTGTGTTTTCCTACAGATGTTTCACAATACTGGCTAGGGGAACAAACTGACTTAATGCAAGAAGAGAGGACCTTACCTGGTGGTAATGTCAGTGTGTAAGAGATTTATGGCAGTGTTGTATATTAAGACATCTATTGCCCATATACACTAAATTAAATGGGCCTGTTCTAGGTTCCTGCAATATAGTAACCAGATCTGAATGCTCCCTCCTCAAACTCACAGACAGAGCTAAAAAGCTATGAGGGTTTTCCAAGAACACTGACAGCCCTCTCTGTTAAAGTCAATTTGAGACAAGTCTTCTAAAATGGGCTACAATCTAGACTTTGTTGACAACAAAACATCAACAAAACCCAGCATATAAGCACTGTCACCCCAAGAATCATTTAATAAATACATCTTTATTAACAGCAATTGCACAAGTGAACAGAACTTTCTGTAGTGACATGACAAGATGGGATTGTATTAACTCACAGAGGTCTGGTGGCAACACATAATCCATGCACCAGAATACCTGTGTGTATTTTTAATACCTTCTAACCTCCACCCCTAGGAAAGTTTCAAGGCTAGCTAAAACTTTAACACCAGATTCACATTTAGATTGTTGAAAATTTGATCTCCATATCCCTTGCTAGCCTTGAAAACTTTTGCAAGTTCTGAATGGGATTTTCTAAAGCACTCCATGTTGGCCTGAACACTGCCACAGCAGAAGGGGTGAGAGAAACCTGTGCATTTTCTGTCAGGTCTCACTTACGCTTTTAAGAACTCTTTCTAATCATGCAGAGGGATCCCATTTAAATGATTCACAGGAAACTCTGGGTTGCCTGGAAACACAAACAAGCTAAACCCAAAAAATGTATTGTCCTGGTAGCCAGCCCACCCCACAGCTCTCAGGAGAAGCTCTACTTCTGCACCAACCACAAGTTTCGTTTGCTGAAAACGGTGTCTGCAACTTCTCTGCAACTGAACTGTTTAGGAAGTTCACTATTGCCTTATAAAGTAGTGCAGTGACCTTTCTACATGTGACGTGCTTCAGGTGATCTTCCACTTGTCCTGTGAACAAGCAGGTGCAGCAATCACAGTTCCTAAATGCAGAGCATGGGGAAAATCCTTACTTGTTCAGCCTTTTGGTATATTATAGAGCAGCAGGCAAAATTGTATCTCTGAAAAGAGGGCAACACCTTGTAGCTTCCTGATGGCCAAGAGGAGAGATGAAGTGTGCATGCCATAAAGGCTGGTAGCAAGTATGCAGAGGGGTAAGTTCTGCCACTGTTGAGTTGATCCTGCAGCAGGGTGAGGCCACAAAGCCAAGATTTTGAACATTCCATCTAAAAGGTGTTTGCACTTTTTCTGATCCACATGCTGTGTAATTGCCAGTTCTGACAGATGCACAAAGCGAGCTGTACGGATGTTGTGTTTTTCACTTGGAGTACTGATCTGTGTTCCTACTCTAACTTCTTTTATAAAGTAGCATTTTAACTGGCAGATCTGCCTTTTAAGTACAATTGTGCCAGAAGTACTATTTGCAATTTTTACTAATAATATTTGCTTTTATTGTAATAAACCAAACTATTAGTAAAATACTTATAACCCAACTGTGCATCCCAGTTCACTTTAGGACTCAGCTGTGCACCGAGCCTTTCTCTGGTCTCAGCCAAATCTGTAACTGGTAGGGTTGTATGAAAATAGAAAGCACTAGCTAATGCCCACTGTTACCATCACCTTCCCTTGATCTTGCTGTTGCTTCCCATCCTGTACAATAGAGATCAAGCTCAAAAGGCCCCACCATCCCTTGGTATTGTGGTTGTTATACGCTGCTGTGTGAGCATTTTCTACAAAGTGCGGTTCAGCCACATCTGTAACGCAGGGGTAAAGATGAGAACTGAACCCATCACTGACACTACCAGAAATAACCACAGGAAAATCTGATCCAGGACTTGAGCTACGAATTTCCAGTCTTGGACAACCTGGGAAGGGGAGAGGGAGAACAAACAGAAACAGTAATCAGCCCAGTACTCTGTTGAAACTGCTACGCATATTTCAGCTCCATAAGTCTGTTTTTAAGTGTGCTGCACCCTCAGACTGGTATGGATTACCTTTTCTGCACCCATAGCTGTGAGTCACTCAAAACCCCAAATAATCCCATTGTTTTACACACATGGTAATCAGACTTCTTTCAGCCTGTCCAAAAGCTAAGTGCCCATGTGAAAGTTTACAGACTTGAGCCTGAAGATGGCTTTAAATCGAACTCAGTTTCTTTTCACAGAACTGCATTTCCCGTGAAGTGCCAGGACTTTGCTCTAGCACTGCATTTTGATGTGAACAGTGCCTCCAGTACAGGTGGTCCCATTGGCTTGTGTTTTCCTAAGTGCTCTCTTGGCTAAGATTGTGTGCATTCAGGAAGGGTATTTTGCATTATGAGTACTGGCACAACCCTGAACATACAAATGAGCTATTTTTAAAGAGCAGTTAGGGGGACTTTTTCATTAAGAATTATTTCAGCTTCAAACAGAAGGCTTTAGGCATGAGCACTATATGCTGGCATACTGCATGTTTGATTTACTGTTCAACTTTCTGCTGAAGTCCTCTCAGCAGAGTTAGAACAAAGCCCCTGCTTTTACTAGGAGAGTGCTAACAGAAGCTTTTCTCTCTCCACATGCCACAAAGTGCACTGCATTGCTGTCCTGCCCTCGCATGAGAAGCATTGTTTATGCACACAGTAATTTGCCATTTTACTGGTCAGCGGGATTGTTAGGAAGAGGAGAAAGATGGTAGTTAGGGACTAATCTGACTAATCTGATACTGGGGGAGGTCGGGAAGACTCCTGCTCAGAACAGGGCAGCTATGCCATGTGTAGTCACTGGGAGACAAGGACTGAGACCTAGCAACTGCTGCAGAGCCTGCCTGTAGGTGTTGATACTTGAGATAGATACTAAGAAAGACACACTTTCAGAGCATGCAAAGTTCCGAGACTGGTATCTATTCCCAGCTCAAGCAGGAAAAAGTTACTCAGATTATCCCCAAACAAGAATTCATCCAGGAAAGGCTGCTCTGGCCTCCTGTGCCTGTGAAGAGCAGGCACTCCCACAGCACAAGTTCTCCTTGAAGCAATGCGCTTTCCTGGAAAACATATGACTTATGAGTCAGGAGAAGATCCCAGGTTATGTCTCAGATGAGAGCAGGAGGAAGAGGCAAAGGGAAAAGAATGCAGAAAAGGTAACGGCTTGGAAGCCATTGCTGTCAAGGAAACTGTGATCCCCTCCTTGCCTTCTCTTCACCTACCTGTCTGATGAAATGCTCCTTTTTAACGTGCCTGGAAATGTATCGGATGGAGTCAGCTGCCTTTTCCAGAAAGGCAATAACAATTTTCTCTCCGTCTTTTGCTTGCTTGTGTTTCTGCTTCCCCGGGAGCTTTGATTTCAAGGTGGTTTCTTTTTCTTCAGTCTCTGAGAAGGAATAACGATCTAAATGGTCCTTCATGCAGAGCAGCCGGGGCAGCTTCTGGAGGAAGAGTCTTTTAACCCAGGGAGCCATGGGATGGTAAGTTGCTGAGGACCGGTGGTGGACATTGATAACAAACACAGTCACAATGATGGATAGGGTCACAAAAATCATGATGAACAGCAGGTACTCACCGATCAGAGGGATGACTTTGGAAGAAGAAGGGATTATTTCCTCAATCACTAAAAGGAAAACAGTGAGGGAGACAAGAACTGATGTAGATAATGAAAGCTTTTCTCCTTCATCTGAAGGCAGGTAAAACACCAGGACAGTTAGAAAAGACAATCCCAGGCAAGGGATTATTAAAAAAAGAGTGTAAAACAGCGGAAGGCGTCTCAGCACAAAGGAGTAAGTGACAAATGGATAAGAGTACAGCCCATCCTTCCTGTTGCCTTTCATACCTTTGGCATTTAAGATCTCCCACTCCCCATTATCAAAGAAGTCTTTCCTGTCTACATTTTCATCCACTAAAATCAAGTCCACCATGCTGCCATCATATGTCCACGACCCAAACTTCATAGAGCAGTTCTGCCTGTCGAAGGGGAAGAAGGTCACATCCATTGTGCAGGAGCTCTTGTAACTGGCTGGTGGTGTCCAGATCACCAATCCATTGTACTTCACTATGGCTTTGGTCATCAGGGATCCTTCAAAACGTCCATCAGCACTAGGAGTTGGACAGGAAGAAACAGCACCAAGTTCAAGACTACATTTGTCCCAGACCTACCACCTCACAGCTCTTGCTTTCAACCCATCACCTGGAGCACAAAGGAAGCCAACATTCATACTGCTTGAAGAAGCAGCCTTCTGACAGCCCACACAAGCTTCACAGTGGCTGACAATGCCTTGCCCAAGCTCTGGCATAAGCCGGAGCCGTGCTACTCACTTTTCAAACAAAACAATGTCAGGAAGCCACAGGGACTCAGAAGGGACGCGGATGGAGGTGATCCCTCCATATTCCTCTGGATTCCAGGAGAGCTTGTGGTCGATCCATTCCTGTAACAAGCCAGCAGAGTCCCATACACAACATTCGTTCACTAATACACAACAGCCTCCTTCCTCCTCCAACCCCCTGCCACAGAGAAACTGCATTGCACAGCACAATGGTCACAGCATGGCTGGGAGATGTTAGTCCCCACAAGCACTGCCCCTCCAGCCACAGCTGGGCTCAAGCACCCCATCCCATTGCAGGCAACCTCAAGGCAGGCACTTCTGCAGAGCACTTGACTCTCACTTCACTCACCACTCTGCCCAGCCCAGCTGAAGGTAGCCCAGAAGGAAGAAGACACTTCCCCTGGGTATGACACCTCTTCTTCCCTCTGAGAACCAACCCGCAGTGGTTTTGGCAGACTGACCATATAGAAGAGCCAGCTGGCATGACTGGTACTACCCAGGTGAGAGAGAGGTGACCTTTAACTACTTTTCAGTGGAGACCTGGCTTCTTTCAGTGAATGGATTACACCTAATATCCGTATGCTGTCCTTGCAAACCAATTAATTGTTCTTTCATCAGACAGACCTGCACACTACTGCAGTGTAAGTAATACTATGCTGTTGTAAAGCATTTGGTTAACAATCCTAAAGAGGTAATACTAAAGAAGCAAAGCAGGGGGAGTCCTGTCCATTTTCACCATGTTGAACTCCAGAATAATTTTTCTTCCCTCTTTTTCTTCTTCAGATGAAAAAAAGAAGAAAGTCACAAAGTGGCTCTAGCAACCTGAAGATTTCCACAGAGATGCAGTGGAAAAGCAGCTCTCTCATCCCAGTTCATTATTGATGCGGGTTTTCACTTGCCCACAGGAATAGCAGAGAGAGGAAGCAAGAGCTATAGACTGCAGTCAATACAAAGAAGCAGAAGATGAACCACTTTCCATTAAGCTTCAGCACTAAGAGCTCCCCAGGGATGTGGAAGCCTCAGTCTTCTCTGGGCAATCTCCTCCATGACTTAAGGATGAACCAAAAAGTGCTATTCTCTGCTTCTTTTCCCACCATATTGCTCCCCTCTTATGTCTCTGATTCCACATTCTTTTCACAGCTATACCTACAAACACTTGTTATTGCGGTCCTTTACAGTGTGACAGCCACCCGGAGCCTCAGTAGAGGCAAGCACCTTCTTCCTCCAGGTGCAGGGGAGGGATGGGGCCCAAGGTCATAGGCAGATAGACCACTCCTAATATCTGGCCCAAGGCACACACAAAGGTTGCAGATGCTAAGGGTGGTGCACTGGAAGGATTAATGGCCCCACAACCTGCACCAGAGGAGACATGGACCCACTCTCTGAACTGCTCAAATGGCTGGCATCAGCTATGAGCGCAGCTCTACACCCCTGGCTCCTCCTGTTGCTGAAGGATTGATGGGAGCTGTTCAAGTATGGAAATAGATGATGGATCTTTGCTGCTCTTAGCTTCACCATTTTTAGCATGAACTGTTCTCTGTGGATGGGTATCTACCAGGTGTTTCCAGCAGCATGGGCTGTTGGATGGGTACAGACTCGCATGTGTCCTGGACACCTCCTGTAATAGATGCAAGGGGGCTTAGGCTGGAAACATATCTGTTACGCAAGGGGATAGCCAGTACTGACAGTAGCAACCAACATAGCCTATACTAACACAACAGACACAAATACTCCTGTGAGCCACCAGGAGATACAATCATCCCTTTGGAACTGAATTGGTGCAGCCCCTCTGCTTGGGTTATTTGCTGCATCTCAAGACTCCTCCCTTCTCCTGCCCTGCACTGAATTTTCTCCCAACTAAAGTGCTCTTTCACGTCTGCAGGGCAAATGGTTGTGTGTCTTCTTACTAGAGCAGAAAATAGATTACGTGCAGACTTCAAAGATGAGCAGTTTAAAATAGGAATCTGCCTATGGGCTATGCTGATGTGAACTGTAGCAGCAGATGCAAAGGGCCATTTCCTTTTTTCTCCCTTTTTTTTCAAGCTGCTCCAGACCCTCTCATTGGTCCTCATTTCCTCCAGTTCTGCCAAATTCCTATCTCCGGGATGTCACTCAAGTGCTTAACCCACGGCAAGTGGACCAAGAAACACTGGACCCAGATTATCAACCCTTGCTAGTAGACCGCATAACTTGCTCAAACCCAGGTACTTTGTCAGCAACCATTAAAAGCTCCTTTGCACCTTGTGTGTCTGCCTGCATGTACATCATGAAATCTCACCACCTTGAGCATATGGACACTTGAGGTGAAAAAAAAAAAAAAAAAAGGAAAAGGAAAAGGAAAAAGAAAAGGAAAAAGAAAGGAAAAGAGAAAAAGGAAGAAAAGAAAAAGAAAAAAGAAAAAGGGAAGAGAGAAAAAGAAGAAAAGAAAAAGAAAAAAAAAAGAAAAAGAAAAATCTTTTCCTAGCTGTTCTGCTTATGCACTAATAACACACACCCCCTCCCCCCCCGCCAAGCATGGACTGCCCATGGGACCAGTTCACACTAAGCTATAAGAATGCATGACTCCCAAAGCAGGAGACCTGGGTCACACCACATCTTTTATCCACAGCATGAGTCAGAAGGATCAGATAAATGAGGCTTCCACCTCATTCTCCCCGACACCAGAGAGGCATGAGTAGATGGTTGCATGTCCCTACCTCCTGCAGCGTCTTTGGAGTAACATGCAGGAGAACCTGTTTTCCCACAGCAAGAGCAGTGACATAGGTTCCAGGCTGTGACTCCGGGCAGGTCTATGCTGCAGTACAGAGAGGGCGTTCAGCATGGATGGGCTAACCTGAAATATCTCCACACATGTTCATGTAGCAGCTGAGAAAGGATCAGGAGGTGTCTGTCTGTATTAACATCTCAGGTCTAATGCCCTCGGGCAGCCTGCCTATGCATTTGGCCTGCTAATGTGAGTCAGTACTTCAGGTCCCTCTTTTCTGCAGTCACTGTAACCTGGGTGAAGATGTCAGCCAGCCAGAGGGATGAAGGCTGCCCAGGACACAGGAGACTTCGCTGTACTGGATAGAGCAAGCAGCCAAGTCTTCCCTAAGAAGAAGGTCAGGCCCAGGAATATTCTGTCAAACAAACTGTTAACAAAACTGAGCTGTATTTCTCCTCCATCAGCCCAGTGACCACTGGGAACCGTTTCCCATGGCACCATTTCAAGTATGGCTTGGGTTTTATGTCCTCTGCCTAGGATCAGCTGACATGTTTACAGATACTCACATGGTTGAGATACTTAAAATAATTATCACAAGGTCAATAAACTGGTGCAATGTAATCGAAACCAAATGCAGTGTTCTTCAGGAGTGAAGAAGAAAGGAGACCTAATTCACAACCTTTCTTGCACCTTTCCCCACTTGTATAAATTGTTGTCACTTCCAGAAGCAATTATATTAGAGAGATCTGATTAATTTGGCATAGATTTTATTTAGGGTAGCATGGGTAGCATGCTGGATTTTTCTTTCCCTTTATTATGCTGAAGAAGAAATCTATCTGAGGCATCAGTCATCGTGAGCAAGAGAGACCGTACTTGTTCGACCTCTGAGTCTGAGACAGGATAGTCCCTCAGGGCACACACAGCATCCCAGGGATAGCCACTGCACTACCAGGACATGTTGCTTCCCTGAAATATAGTTGCCTTGAGCACAAAGCTAGGCTGCAGTCAGGGGGAAGATGGCACCCTACTTCTTCAAGGCCCATTTCCCTGCCTTCTGGCCTCTTCATGTCTTTTTATGAAGTGAGAGGAGTACAGTGAAAACCGCAGGCAAGGTAACACGGTGCTCTTTTTGTCTGGCCGCTCAGTGTCATGACAGGGATGGATGTCACAGTGGGCAGCAGGCTGGGATGGCCACTCGGCTCAACAGCACCACAATGAAAGGGAAGGTTTGATTTGGTCTGATTTACCTGCTTCAGCCACACATTGGTTGTCATCAGCTGATTCTTCTCATCCTAAGGTGACACAAAGTAGAGAGGATTGCAGTTTCAGAACAGTCAGAGGAAACACACCCCATGCCTACTGAGTCCAACCCTGTTCTGAGCAAATGAGATCCCTGTGGTCCTGTTTCCCCATGGGCCTGGGCTCTTCAGTCACTGTTGTGGGGAAGTGAATTGACCCACGAAGTGCTGCCTCTGCTCTTGCTGAGAGCTTCTGAGGCTGGAAACCCAAGGTCTACATTTCACAGCAGCCCCAGGGAATCAGGTGCTGAAGAGCAGGGAGGCAGCAGGGCTCAGTGGGGTCAGAACACGCACGGCTGTGGGCTCACAAGATGGCTCATCTACCCACACTTCTCAGCCTGGAGTGAGCTTGGGAAGATACGAGCTGAAACATCCCCGAATATCCCTGACTGTTCAAGACCAGGTTGGACGAGGCCTTGGGTGACATGATTTAGCATAAGGTGTCCCTGCCCATGGCAGGGGGGTTGGAACTAGATGATCTTAAGGTCCTTTTCAACCCTAACTATTCTATGATTCTATGATTCTATGTAAATAAAGCACAAAATCAGAGTCTGCTCTCCACGGCACAGGGAGACACTGCCAGCGGGCAGGGGAGCTGAGAGGAACACTGCTGTGTGGGTACCTCTGTCTGGCCCTGTTCACATTCTACTGGGATGGAGGGGAAACGGAAGGGAAGCTTTCCACATGGACAAAACCACAGGATTGTTTAGTCTCTAGCATCTTATCTGCATGGCCATCTCGGTCAAGATACAAGTTGCCTTTGGTCTAGATACAAGATTAGTTAGAGTGAGCAATATCCAACCAGTTCTACCCTTCTTTACTGCTTTTTGCAGCTGCATTGTCACTAAACTCCAAATGCAGGCACCAGGGACTTTCTGATTAATACCCGATGAAGGGATGCCTTATTCCCTTAGAACAGCAGGGAAAAAATTACCTTCAGGTTTGCTGCAAAGCAAATGAGGCCCATGCCATGCTTGGGGCAGGAGGTCTTACCACCAGCACCACATCACACCCAGCATTTCGCTGCCTGACCAGCACTTTGCATTTCATATCTCAGTAGGCAGAAGCCAACAGCATCCTCCCAGCCCTCCCAGGTGGATGCACAACTGTCTGTAAAAGAAGGTATGTTACCAAGCCTAACACAATACTTACCACATCCACAAGCTGTGATATCTTTAATCCAAAAAGGACTTTGATGGTGTCATTGGAGTTCCCCACGGGACGGACCCATTTCTGATAGCCTTGAAATAAGTGCTTGAGGAGCGCATCCTCATTCTCAGCGCCTGAACTGAAGGCAGCTACATCTGGAAGGGAGCAACAGGGAGTGGAGGCATGCCGGAAAGCAGATATGGAGAACAGCACAAGCTGAAGAAGTGAGGCAGAGCAGTGATGTGAGACAAATTTGCCTCTGGGCAGCTCTTGTCTTGTACAGTACAATCTGTAGGAATTTAGATGCACAGAGTCTCAGCTAAGCTGGGGTGAGAGGAGGGGAAGGCAAGGCAGCCCAAGCCCAACTCAAAAATAAAATCATCAGAGCAGTGATGACTTTGTACTAGTGTTATCTAGTGTATGGGGTCCTTTTCAAGAGAAAAGGACCCCATACACCAGATATGAAAAGTATGAAAAGATATCACCAGATATGAAAAGTACCTGCTCAGTCTGACTTGGTTGATTTTCCTTTAGAAGATCTACTAGAGCAGTCAGCCTCTCCATCCTTTCCTAAATGCCAGCCCCACTCTTCACAATGCTGAGGTCCTGACATGATCTCCACCGCTTCCCTTCTGAATACAAACAGCAGGAAGTATGAGAAGGATTTCACCTCTCCTCAAAAGCACCATGAACAGAAAAGGAGCTCATGCTGGTCAGCACTGTGCCACAGGGGTCACAGCTGGTGCTGCAGTGCCAGCAGTCAAAGGGGACCTCACTGGGTGCTGCCAGGGTCCATCTTGTCCCCTCACAACCCGTGCCCTGCCAGCTCCAGCACACAGGACATAAGTGCCTGAATTGCCAGCCATTAGGCACAGAGTTATGGCCAAGGGATGGCGCAAGGACTAGGCAATGGGAGAGCCCTGGCAGGGGGCACAGCTGAGGGGCTTACACTTGAGTGCAGCAACATCACAGGCAATGCAACCCCCAGCAGGGTCCCTGTGCCGTGGTACTGAGGAAAGGGCATCTGAGCCCAGCAGTCCCTCCAGAGAGAAAAAACCTGCTGCCACACCAGAGCCTCCCATGGGGCAGAATTGTTCTCTCAGGGTAGCAGAAGGTCCAAGCAGCACTGCCATCCCCCACTTCCAGTAAACGGGCAAATGCCCATTCCTCTTTGAGAAGCTGTGAACTCTGAAGCCTAATGATTACCACTCATAGGGTAACGATTACGGTACTGTCAGATGTTCTAGGGCAGGCTGTTTTTGTCCTCTGTGGCTGGACAAGCAGTTGTGGTGGGGTTACCAGGCCCTGGAGAGGTGGGTGCCAGCCGGTTAGACAGAGCTTTCACACTCCTTTCCCCCTGCTCTGCACCACAGCCAGGGACAGGCTCATGCAGCTGTCAGAACAGTTTATAGCAGCCTTTGCATCCACTCTGTACCTTGCCACTTTCTCACAAGCCTTTGAGGTCTGTTATTACCATCTGGAAAACTACAAATGCCCCTTTTGTTTGCTCCAGGATTTGTTCTCCCCTCAGGGCTAACCTTAGCTCCACCACAGCAAACTGGGACAGAGTCTGGGCTCCGTCCTAGGAAACTGGATTGCCTGCCCAAACATGCTAGACAGGCATTGCATCCACAACCAAAGGAAGAGAAAGAACATATTTCTCCCTCCTCACTACCCACAACCTCAGTGGTCCAATCCCCTGACACATACAGCTTTCTGCAAAGACCCTAGATCCCAGCCCTTTTGCTTTCCCATTTGGAGATTTACAGGGGTGCATGGTTATTGAACACAGGAAATTTAACGGGAAAGATCTTGATTTTAAAAAAGCACAACCCTAAAACATGCAGGAACAAAACCGGCTTTGCCTTAATGCTGGAATACATTGCTCTGGGTGTATTTAAGTATAAGTCCCTGCACGCTCATATGCAACCACACACAGCACAGGCATGCTGTCCGTGGCTATGTATGAACCCACTCATAGGATAACACTGCTGTTTCACAGCCCATACTTCACATGAAGTCTAAGGGCCTAATACTCCAAGAAAGTATAGCAGAGGGGTGGTAAAGCTGGCTTTGGGGCTGGAGGTATTGATTCTCAGCTGCTGGGGAAGCCACAGGAGACAGTGAAAATAGTTGGGAAGTCTCATGAGCAAGAAAGCCAGAAGGAACAAGATTGATGTCCTTATAAGACAGCCTCAGTAGCTGCAGGAAGACAATTTAAAAGCAGAGGATTTTAATGCAAAGGAAGACATATCAAGAGGAAAAACCAGCCTAACAGCTCCTTTTGGTCAAGCCCCGTCTGATGATTAAATTAGATAAAGCCATGGACAAAACACTGATAACAGGAGCACTGCCTTAGACAAAACAGAAGTGCGGCCACAGGACAGACTCATCCCTGAATTTACCCTATGATGAACAGAGAAGGCAGAAGCTTGGAGCTCCCTGGCAGGTTACTGTGTGTGTGAGTAACAGCCTTTTTTGTCATCTCCCCTCTCCCCCAGGTTCCTGTTTGTCTCTCTGGTCTGTGCCAGGAGAAGTTCCCTATAGGCACAGGAGCAGGATTGCTGGGGCAGGGAGTCTGTCAAACAAACATGCAAACCACGCTCAGAAGCACAGACAGGACACTTAGCCTCCCGTCAGCTCTCATGAGGCATTTCAGTTTTCCTCCTGGTGAAGGAGATCCCCTTGTGTAAGTCCCTTTAGCAGTGCTAGCTAAGCTTAGGATTCATTTGTTAACTTCTAGCCAGTGGCCAGCCCCCAGCCCTTGTTGTCAGACTGTCTGTGGCTATAATACAAAGGCAGCAACTGATAGAATCCTCTTTTGCTAGTCAGTGTTCAGAAGATGACCAACAGAAGCGAGCATCTACCTTGTCCCAGCAAGCAATAAAATAAAACCCTTGAACATCTGCAGCTCAGCTTGGAAGAAGAATAAATCACACTTACCTGAATGGGTCAGACACAGCACAAAGAGCGTTAGGCAAAGCATGGGCACCACCGTGGCTTTTCCTTTAAATCTGATCTTTCCTTTTCATAAGCAAATCCGGCTCATCTTAGTAGGGGACTAGAACAATCTGGCTAGAAATCAAGGCGGACAATTGAGTCTGCAAGGCAAGACAGCACATTTCAGAGCCTTATCTTGCCTCATTATGACGCTCTGTAAATCACACTTCATTGATTTTGAGTCAGCTGTCACACCCCGTAAGCCTAAAACAAGGCTCTGGGTCCTAAACTCTGATGTGTTTGTGGCAGTATTTGGGTTACTACAGGCACTGCAGGCTAGGAGTAGAAGTGAGGCTAGGTTTTTAAGGAGGCGAAGTGTCTTTTATTATGCTGCCAGTTACAGATGGAGAAAAAAGAGGCTGCAGATCAGACCGAAAGATAGATCATGTGCCTGAAAGATTGTCTGTTTGTTTCAGCTTGGTCTAATAGCCTCCCTACAGACCTAATTGAACTTATTCATTTTTCATACTGCACTTGCTGGTTTATAGCTATAAAATAGGGGGTAAACGTAAGTAAGATACAGGTGGGAAAACAGGACTTTCCTGGTCCCCCTGCCACCAAGGGATCTCAGGATCGTCTCTGTTTTCTTCCCAAATGGAAGTCACTTTGTCATCTCTCTCTGAAGAAGAGAATTCCCCCTCAGCTTTTGAGTTCAAGAAAGAGTGGTGCAAAATTCTTCTAGTCTGCACCCAGACCTGAAACACTTTCAGCTTTGATTTATTCTTTTGGGTTATTTAATTGCTCGCTGACTTCTAGATGGAAAGCCTGTTCTTCTCAGCAACAGCTGGGCCCATTCCGTGAAGTGGCCCAGATTTTAGTACAGTCATGGGCTGTCTGATTCAGATTTGCCTTATCTAAGTTCCTCACAGAGGAATAACTGGCAGCTGCAACTTTATCAGATAATTCAGCTTCCTTTAATGAAAAAGATGTTGTTTCTGTGTTGTTCAAAGTCACATTGACGCTATTAGTGGCCTTCTCGTAGTGTCCTCCCACCATATTTGTGTTGCAGTGGGCTTGCAACCTGCTTCCTCCAAAGCTCTCAGGCAGGCTCTACCAGCTGCAGCTCACTGGGTTTGCCTATTCTGCTTCTGTACTACACATAGGGAATCTGCAAGAGTCCTCCCTAGCTCCTCATCTCTGCAGGGCTGGAGGAGCAGCTGCCCTTCTCTGCACAGTTCCTCATCCCAGCTGCAGAAAGCAGCTCAAAACCAACAGTGCTATTGACAGACTGTCCTGGACAAAGTGTGTTCTTATCATCAGCTGCTTTCAACTACCAGACTGCTCGGTTTAGCCATTAGATACAGACCAGACGTAAGCACACAACTTGTCAAAGTCCTTTTTTTATGATGGCATAAAAACAACAGTGAACATTTGGCTGGGGTGCTGCAGACAGACAGCACCACAACCCACCAGAATGCGGAGTATGGGATAACTCCATTATCTGTCTGATGCAAATTTTTCTGCAACAAAGCTACCCTTTAAAAATGCTCTGTGCAGGCTACCCTGTGTATTCCAGCATGTTTTGAGTCCCATACAGGGCTCAGCACCCTCAGACATCACCCATCATCTTTGCTGAATCACAGCTTCATGTTTGTGTGCAAGCCCCAGCCTGTGCCCATTGACACCTCTGTAATCACTGCCTGCGATCGCACCCAGGCATTGCTCTGTTAGACAATCCTGAATCTCAGACTGGAGAGAAACTTCTTTTCATAAGGCTTTAACCTGCTGCCTTGAGGTACAAGTAGCCTAAAGGAGTAGGCTTTTTCCTATTACATGGTAGTTGCTTGGAAGGAAATAAGATATATTCTTGCTTTACCATTGCCTCCACCCTCTGCCCAGATTATGACAAGAGGTAAGAACCTACCGTGTGCCTGGTCTTTGGCTTCCAGAGTTATCCATCAGCCAGAGGAGGGTATTGGAGAAATAAACTGTTTGCTAATAATGCTTTCTGTTTACAAGCCTTTATTCAGCCATGCTCCTCAACGTTTTGGGAAGGCAGGTACACACGAATACTCTGTTTTACCAGCCATACCATGGATCACTGGGAGCATCCACCCTGAGACAGCAAATGAATTCCTGGGTAAAACTTGAATATTCTCTGTTGAGAACCTTCCTTTGATTTACCATGGGTTTTGTGGGTTTGTAACTGATGTGAGGCTGCAATTCTAGGCTGAAAAGAGACAAGAGCTACTTGAGCACAAGCAATGCTGGAACCCTCTGGGCAGCTCAGACTTCTGGGGGAAAAACAAACAAACAAACAAGACAGAGAAATCCACCTATAAGCACAAATCCAAAAGTTTGAGCCAATATGGTTAATACTAGGAGCAGCTGAAAACCGGAGTTTATGATGGAGAGTGCCAAGACACGCTACCCAAAGGCACCATGGAGATGACTGTGGAAAATGCATTTTCCAGGAAGAGGTGGCAGTGCTCCTGGTAACCAGAGTGTGGGGAACCCAGAATGAGGGGAAAAGGACATTGGCAGGAGGGATGCGGATGGGAAATGCTGTGAACCAGAACCCATTTCCAGAATCAAGAGCCTGAGACGGGTTTGCAGTTGCAGGGGGCAGAAAAGAGAGGCTGCAGAGGTGAGGCTGTTGCAGCAGCTCTGGGGCAGGAGGCTCCTTCCAGGTGGATGGGCCTTCTCCCTCCCCAGCCTGCCGCCTTGGTCCCTGGGGTTAGTATGCCAGGAGCCACTGGAGACAAACCTCAGGTACCAGCGTTTGGGATGGAGCCAGGCTTCCCTGAGCTCCCAGGAGAGGACTGAGTCACCTTTGTGCCATGTCACATGACACAGGGAGCCAGCAGGCAAACACCAGCCCTGCAGGGAGAAGGGACAGCTTCTGGAGCAGAAGCGGTGTGGGAAAGGGCAGCACTCCTGGAGCCTCAGCTTTGCCCTGGTACTTCCCCACCGATCCTCTCTGCTCTCAGTCCTTGCTCTCCCATCAGCAGCTTCCTAAAATACACACCTTCTCCAGGCAAGGGATGTTTCTAGCCCAGCTTGGCAACTTCTGCAGCACCAGACACTTCCACAGGCCAGAGGGCACAGAGTCTGCAGCCAGCTGTCCACCTGCCCATACGCCCTGAAGCCTCTCCACTCTCCTCCAGCTCCCTGTCCCCACCAGGCACCTTCCTGCTGTCACCTCTCTTGGCTTGCTCCACCAAGCACAACTCAATTCTATCTCTCCCTCTCCGCCGTTTGCCCTCCATCGCTCCTCCTCCACGCACCTTTACCTCACGCACCGCATCCCACTGTCCTTCCTCTCCCCCGCGGTGCCCCAGCACAGCCGCCACTGTCTTCCTCCTCATTTTTGACCTTCTCTCACACAAAGAGAAGGCCCTTTCAGCTTCTCCTAGACTTTTTCCTCCCCAGTCCCCACTGCGGACGTTTCCCTGCCTCGCATTCCGCGCTGTTCCGGCTCCCCCGCCTGGTAGGACCCTGGCAGTGCAGCAGTGCCCAGGGCCCTGCTGTGGTGAGGTCTGTGGATATAAAGGATCCGTCGGACTTGTCCGGGCTGAGATGCTCACGGGCTGCTGTGTGCGCTTTACCTGGGACCCTTGAGGGGGGCTACCAGAACAGAGCTCACTTTCAAGGTACACCCAGACAGTTGCTCCAGCGGTGACCAGGCTCTGCAAGTACAGGGAAAGGTTTTGCAGTACAAGAGCCGTTCCAATTCTGAGTTTCTTGGCGTCTTCCTACCATCATGGACTCTTGCCTGTCCTCCTTTCCATTTCCACCACATTTACATGAATGCGGACTTGAGACAGCTTTGAGCCCCCGTGCTTTCTGACCGTGTACAGTCCATGCAACTGCCTGCCGCCCGCTGCCCTGTAAAAGCCTTCCACTGCTCCGTCGGTACTGAAGACACGCAGGAAGACAGGCCTTCTGGAGGTGCTCAGGCCCTTCACTACTGTATGCACATTAATCTTTCTCAGAGATGGTGCATTGCCCTCTGCATTAGAGTCTTTGTTTTCCTTTCTCAGTTCTAACTTCACAGTGAGGACTTGTCCAGGATGCGGCACTGTGTCTTGGGGCTCTGTGGTCCACTCCTGCATTTTAGTGACACTAGCTAACTCTGAAATTTGGTAATTCTTACAAAAGTTTAGTGTGAATCGATAACTGTAAATGAAGATCTGGCTTAGCTCTGCTATTTTCTCAGCTTGTCTTTCCATTTTATCAAGCTCTTTCCATTTTATTGCTCTTTGGCAAGCTCTTCTCGCAGCCCAAATTTTATCTGCAGCATCATGAACTTGCTGTTGAGATGACAAGGCTTGAAAGACTTCAGGGGTAGCAAGGGCCAAGACTTTACAGGGTGTGACAGAAAACTCTGCTTTGAAGGCAATGGCTCCAGGAGTGACCGAAGTGCCTGGTTCATGTCTATCTCTGCATTGACCTCTCAGCCTCTCATTTTCAGTGGTAACGCCTGGTGCCTGGGAGCCCTTAGCCCAACACACACAGCGCTCCATGACAAGAGGGAGAACTGCTGTCTTTTTTTCTGTTTCCTCCTTTACTATAAGCTTACTGTATGCAGGGCAATCATGAAACCCAAAGGGCACTTCCTGCCGTGTCCTGTAGCCTCGATAAGCTGCTTGAATCCTGGCAGCAGCTTTGGTAATTTTGTCCACTTCTCTTTGGGTGCAATATCCCCGCCACGCAGCCTTGATGATGGTAGCGGACAGAGTTTGTTTTTGGAGCCAATCTGTCTGGTGTGGGAGGGCAGGAGACACCCTTGGAGATATCATAGCAAAATCCAGTGCTTTGTCAGAACCTGGATGAGGTTCTGACCTGAGGTTCCTGCCTGCATTTTTGGGCATTTGCTCTTCTTTATCTTTTCCTGAGCTAGCAGAAGTGGCTGCTTTGTGGGTCCACATCATCCACCCACAATTCACAAGGAGGTTTCTTTTTAGCTTTAGAAAGATATCATGACACAGATAATAATTCTCTAGTGCCCAAAAGATGACAACATAATATATTTGCTAGGAATGGTTGGAGGTCCATATTCTTTTGTCTCTTTCTTCAATACTGGATGTTGTTCTCGTGCTTGTGGCTTTGTTCATGATGTTTCAATAAAAAGAAATGCAGTTGTTATCCATTTTCTTCTGCTGCACTATGCCTCTTGCTGACTGCTTGGATTACAGAAAAGCAGTTATTTCTGCAGTTAACTAGTTCTCCATCATGTGCATTTTCGACATGTGTATTAGGACTCACATTTCTGTAGGAAAAGATTGTATATTATATACTCTAATCTGCAAGTACACAATAGCAGATTGTGCTTCATGAACACAGCCCTCACACTTGACATTTTGCACATCAGGAGTTGTTCTACCATTTTGGAGGGGGCTTTTTTGAAAGTTACTCTTTTAACAGAAAATGCAGCAGCATTGCCAATGTTGTCAGCCACATTCAGCCCCACAAAACTCAGGGGCTGAGAAAGACAGCCCCTCAACACGGGCCACTGAGCTACAGGACAGATGCCTGCACCTTCATCTTTAGCTTTCAGAAAGAAATTGGAAAAGGTCAGGAGTAAATAACAACAATAATTAAAACAAATATCAAAGAATTGTTAATCCCTCCTTGAGTGCTGAAACAGCCACTCTCTGGTTGATTCAGACTTATTCTGACCTCTTCCCTCCATCTTGAGAGCTCTTGAGAAACTTTCTTTCTCCCACCAACCACTCATCAACAGCATGCCTCATCACCCCTTACATGCCTCCTTCTGAAAAACAGAGCCAGGAATGTTAAAAAGCTTCCTTTTTGGCTGATAGACGATGTGAGTGCAGTACAGTCACCTTCTTCAGGCACTGCTTTGCTCAGGAACTGAGATTTTACATGCCTGAATTTCTAGGGGCCCATCAAATGAGAAGATGCTCAAGTCTTGCAAAGGGAAGTGAGCTGGCTCCACTTGGAAGTATTTCATCTCCAAATGGCGGCCAGGTTTGCTGAAGTTAGGAGCCACTGGCAATGCCAAGCATCTTCAGCCACCCAGGATCCAAGCTGTTTAGTCCTCCTGTGAGCAAGGCTCTTGATGTCTGAGATACACCCATCTTTTGCATGATACCAAATGGCTGCAGCACTTGCCCAGGAAGAAGCAGGTCTGGGGCGCTGGGTTGGACCCAGCCTGCACTCATACTTTGGAGGCTGTGGCATGCTAAGAGCAAAATTCCCCCATTCAGCTACATTACAGCCAATAATTTTACAAAGTGGGAACTTTAACACAGCAGCCAGAACACTCACTTGAATGGGGCAGCTCCTATGAAATGCACGCACATTACTTTGGATCATCCCTGGCTAAAACGCAGAAACTGCTTTGGCAGCAGCCAGTCGGCAGACCAGACCTCATCTCTGTCACAGGAGTCACCCTATCCAGTATTGTAAAGCCAACTTGTCTATGGAGAAACAGTTTTGGGGGAGTATGAAAGATGTTCTTCATTTAACACCTCCACTAACTCACTTCTGTCCTTTTAATCATGTCAGCCCACTACTGTCCTGATGACTACCTTCTGATGGCTTGAGCTGGGATGTGAGCCTTCTAGCCAGAGATGCCTGCTTGCCATGCTAAGTCTGTATTGTTTGGGTTAATGTCAAATAATTTATAAATAACAGTATCTATTCCTCCTAGAGATTTCTTAAGATTAGATAGAAACCTTCACAGGTAGGAACCAAAGAGACAGAATGTGTAGGACCATAATTTTGAACATCTGTGGCGTATTTCAGACTTCCATGTTCACTGGCTTATGAACAGATAGTACTCTTAAATGCAGACCTAGAAATCAGCTTTCACATACAATAACTTCTGGAACTCCTATCCATAATAACTTATTACATGAAGACATTACAATCCTCTTGAATGTCTACATATGCGGTTAAAATTCAGTGTGGCCTACCTCCAGGTATTTGATTGTTACAAGTTTTCACAGTTGTGCTCACAACTGTGAAATACAGAATATGTACAAGCAAAATCCAATTATATTTCTGAGTGGCACAAATGAAACGATAGGCATTAGGTGGTTTGTTTGTTTGGGATTTTTTTTAGTGTTTTTCAGTGTTCATACAAAATGTCTCAGGATAATAGTATAGAAGAAAGGAGTTGGACCTGCATGCATAATAGGCTATACATATATAACAGGACAGCTCTGAGTAATATCAATTAGCCTGGGACTATGGAAACACTTGCTGTTAAACATCAGTGTAAACAAAGCACAGTGTATCAGATGCCTTCACAGTTTCTGACTGAAGTCAGAGTACGTTTTTTATGTGACTTGCAATTTTGGGGCAACATATAATCATAACAGAAGAGATGTGAAGTAGAAGTGCTGCAATTATTTGGTGGCATATGTAACCTAATTAAATGGTAGCATATGTAACCAATAGCTGTATCTTGAAACCGTGTGAGTTCATTGAATAAAGCTTTTAACAGCAAACTAGAGAGGCTTTGAGACCCATAAGGCTATCTCTACGGGATGACATCTTTGAAATCTGCCATTTGTCTTGCTTCTGACAAGCCAGAGAAGCTGAATACAAAACCCAAGTGTTTACAACTTAACCTCATGAAAAATGTAATTTGTGTTACTTACAAAAATACGTAGAAACAAGCTTTGCTTTTCCTACCATGCCAGCATATCCTATTTCCTTTAACTGTTTTAATGGCCTGTCTGTGCCTATTCAGATAAATTAACCTAGTTACATTATAGAATCACAGAATGGTTTGGGTTGGAAAGGACCTTAAAGCTCACCCAGTTCCAACCCCCTGCCACAGGCAGAAACACCTTCCACTAGACCAGGTTGCTCCAAGCCTGATCCAGCCTGGCCTTGGACACTGCCAGGGATGGGGCAGGCACAGTTTCTCTGGACACCCTGTGCCAGTGTCTCACCACTTTCTCAGAGTGAAGAATTTTTCTTCTTAGTATCTAATCTAAGTCTACCCTATTTCAGTTAAAAGCTGAAAAGGAGGAAGTGTGCCAGAAGACAACTTGCCACTGTTCTTGTAGAGCTTGTAGAATAAACACCATCCCCTCTAAACTTTATAAAGGCCTCAAAAGACCTTTTGGCTGCCTCAGACAGAATGAAACAAACTGTGCTGCTGTCAGCCTTCCCCACATTATTACCTTGACCTCACTGGGGCAGCTCCTCATGTTCATTTACAATACAGTGTACCTGCCTCAAACGACATTTCAGTCAGCCAACAGACTTTGTTTCACAAGTGTTGCAGTATTTTGAGGCTCTCAGCAAGTGCAGGGAGCATAACACATTAACTCCACATGCATCAGATAATCAGCAAAATCAAAAGGAGTAAAAACACCCCCAAAGATGCAGGAATGCTTCGGAGTTTAATTCCTCAATGGGTAGCGGACCATTTGTTGAGGAATGCTATCAGATGCCTTATTCACTCAGGTTAATAACCATTTATCATTGCAGATGGATTTTACCTTACCGTGATCTCACTGCAGCACAGCAGACCGCCACCCTGCTGTGGAGCCCATTGTGACATCATGAGCAAACATCAGCTGAAGCTTCACGGCATTATGACTTTGTTGCCAAAGAACAATGCTGTTTAGCCTTGTCTGAGAGGATGACACTGCCCCAGTGCCCCCTCTTCTGCATAATGCTGATGGACTTTCCAACAGCAAAACAATATCATTTTCAGCAACACAAAGAAGAAATCCCAGCCCCATGGGACTCGGCAAGGCTCTGCTCAAAATGTTGAGTCAAGCTTTCAGCATTTCAGCACAGGCAGGAGCTTTACTGCTCATTTAAGTGGGATAGAAGTTAAGCCAGTGGTGAAGGCATTGCTCAGAAAGCTCTCAGCTCCCCGGAGAATCACTGAGCTCACTTTTAAACCTCTTACAGATATCATTTTATATACAGGAATCAAGAAGCAAGTAGAATAAGAGTGAAAACTCAGCCTGAATGCACAGAGAGTAAAATCCATTGAAATAATAACCAAACCTCTTCTTTTCACAGGCCAAGCTCATCCATTAACCTGAAGCAGTCTTCAGTTGAGACATGCTTTTCATTCCAATGCTATTTCTAACAACATTTTGCATTTTCATCTCTGTGGCACATTTTATAGCATCAAAGAGTAAAAAGTTACCAATCTACAAAAAAAGGTTACTGACCCATGCTCCAAATACTCCAGCACTCTATTGCTGACAGCCTCTGTAATTGAGCAGATTAGTATATCATTATTACCATGTATCAGATCAGAAAAGGCAAATGCGGTAAGAAACACAGACTTCTAGATTCTGAAAGTATTAATAGAAAAGATAAAATTAATCTTTGGTAAGAGAGAAGAGCAATGCTGCAGAAGGGCAAAGCAAATACAAAAAAGTCAGAGAAAATGAGATAACATTGAAGATTCAAATAGATTTCTAATGGGGAGAAAAGTTCTACTTCTACAGTCCTATCTCATTACAGAGATGGTGGGTTCAGTAGACAGCATGCTTACAAGACTTTGTGATCATCATACTGTGAAAAACAAGAAAGACCAATATCATCTACCACATGTATAAGCTTATGATTTCTTCCCTGACTGAAGGAGTAAAAAGTGTTGAAGGAGGATGTTTTTTGATCTGGTGTAGAGATCTAGCCTGTCAGGTAACACTGGGAACAACACAAGAAAGCACCATTTGTAGATATTAGTTTAATTTAGTTACATCTTATTTCTGAAGTTATATACATGTCAATTAACTGATATACCAGGTATATATTAAGCTGGTATATCACAAAGCAAAAAATGTAAGTCGTAACATTAGTAGACAGAAAAAGAGGTAAATGTCAATATTGATGGAAGAGCTGTTATCAACAGAGTGATATTGTTAGATTAGTTAAAACACCATCATATCCTTGCTTGAACATTCGAGTATAAAGGATATTACATACATATATATGTATTTAGTTATATGAAAAGTTGCCATCAGGTAACGTTAGCTGACAGCAGTATCGAAGAAAGATAACTCAAATGATACTGTGACAGTGGTTTATGTGTGCGTATTTTAAATAGATTACTTGCAAATAACTAGAGTTCCTCAAGCTGAAATAGCCACATGCACATTCACCTGGGGGCATAGACATGTTTCTTATTATCCACAACCAGGAGATTTCCATGCTATAGTACCTGTAGCGCAGAAATTGCCAGTTCTTCGCCATGCTGGACACATAAATAAACTCTGAACAATTTCAGTCCCTTGTCAGTCAAGGAAAATAAAACTAACAAAAAAGATTTTCCTGGACTCAGAAAGAGACAAATGAAGATAAGAACTGAATATACATACTGATTGGAAGCTACTCATAAATGACTTCTTTTTCATACCTTGGGCATAACACCACAAACATTCATTCATCTGCCAGTGACTCCTGGAGTTCCCCAGATAAACTGCCACTACAAAATCACTTGATAAAACACCGTATCAGCTCAGAACACCTATGAGACAAGCCTGCAAGTCTAGCTCAAGCTTCAAATATTAGAAATTGAACCATCTACCAGTAAGGCCAGCCTCTGCAGCCCAAGCTCACGTAGCACATGCTCTAGCTAGGGCAGATGAGTCCACCTTGATGTCTCACAGCCAGCCTGGGAACAGTTCTCTCCGTTTAAATTTTATTTGCATGCAGCTGCCATTCCTCTGGACCTGACAGCACCAGCACCAGCATGATGAATGAAGAGTCTGATCCTATCAATACAAGAAAAGAAGAAGACAAGAAAAACAAACAAAGAAAACACAAGTAACAACAAAGAAGATCAAGAACTCTGGACTGAGCTGTGAAAGTGGTTATTCTGAAGCTTCATTCCCTTCAGAGCCAGCTACTGTGGTTATTATCCTAAAAAGATCCCTTCCTCTTAACACAAGAAAAACCAAAACCTTCCTTTCTGAGCCATGGGTGCAGACTGCAGAGCGCCTGAAGCGAAAAAAAAGTTCAGTTCTTCCTGTAAGAGACATTAGACATCCCTGAAAAGAGATGGTATGGAGATGTGTGACTAATCCCTGCAATGGAGGAAGGCCCAGAGGAGATGGTCAAGAATGATGACCTCAGGGAAGAATGTAAGTGATAACAACAAATTGTCATAAAGAAAGCTGAGATTATCTCAACACCAGGGGGAATAGACAGTAACCTTTGTTTAAGGTATATAGCTAATATATCACTTACTTAGTCAACAGATTGCACGAATAGCCTTCCCTGAAAACAGCTACCCAGACCAGCATGGGAGGAGAAGATGTATGTGACTCAACCCATATAAATAAAAACTGAACCACTCACCAAATCAGCGTGGGAGAGTGGCTTAAGATGAACTTTGCCCACATATTATTTCCTGGCAACTGAGGACACACAGTGTCGTGACAGCAAGCATTTAGAGACCAGTAATGGGAATTTGTACGGTATGCTTGTACTGTGATTCTGATGTATATTGCAGTTGATATACTGTGCTCATGCTGCCATTTCAGTACACTGCTGTATACGGTGTCATTCTGCTAAATCAATGTCCTGGCTCATCTATGAACCTGGCTGGAAAGTACTGGACTCTGGCTGGGGGCTGGTAAATGAGCCCAAGATGAAAGAAGAAACCATTATTGAAGGCAAGACCTCCTTTTTCTGGATTACCAGCCCCAGACACTGAACTGATGCCCCCCCAAAAGCAATTTACATGTCTTTTTTCACAGACTCAGATACTGAAGATTGGGTTCAGCTATAGATGACTAGTATAGTCATAGAACATACACCCTTAATAGTCACATCCAGTGAAACCTGAAAGGAAATGAGAAGCCTGCCTAATTTGCTCAAGTCCTCCCTGAGTTTAAAAAACAAACAAAAAAACCCAAACTAACCCCCCAAAAAACAACCAAACATACAACCCCCAAAACAATTAGCCTCATTGTAGTCTCCCATGTTCCTCTCTAACTAAAGGACCTTTTAACAGTCCACTAGAACCAATTATGACGCAGAAGACAATCATTTTTTCAGAGGTTCCAGGAATGTGTGAGCCCAGGCCTGGCAGTCTCTGTACAATGAGAGGAGGCAGCTACAGGAGGATCACTAGATCATTTTGCACAACAGACAATAAAAGGCTTGATATTCAGTGCTAAATGAATTAATAGTGGCAGGACTTCAGAGAGATTTAATTACTGAAATTATTTAATTATGACAATGCAATGTATACTCAAGAGAGGCTCTTGAAAAATTCCTTCTGACTAACATATTTAAAAGTTTTCTTTAACTTCAGAATATTTAAGTTCCTCGCCAAAGCTTTCCTTTGGGAACTGTTTATTCTTAGTGGATTAAACAACAACTTTCCAATACATTTTATTTTTGCACACTTCTAAACTGCTTCAGTCTGTATAAAATTTTAAGGCCTTCTGCCCAATTTGTGCAATAAAATGCTGTGGTTCCATCCAAATAACTGTAAGAAAATAAAATTTCTGTTGAAAGCATTGAAGAGGAATCTATAATAGCACTTAACTGTCATCATATTTTTAATCATATTTTTTAATTATATTTTTTAATCCTGTTTTTTTTTTCTCCTTTATTAATAAATCTTGGCTAAAATATGGCAAATAACCTCCTATGCTTTAAACAGCAGAAGTTACAGAACTGAACTTGCAGCAGTAATGACAGACAGTAAGCATCAATGTGCTTTGGCAGATTGGGTTTTGATTGTTAAAATTAGACAATAGCTCAAAACACCCCTTTCTACCCTGACACCTGATGAAGGTGTAAGCTGAGAGGAAGCAGATACACCTACAGACTAAAACCTAAAACAGTTCTAAGGAAAGAAACAAAGCAAAAGGGAAACTAGGAATAAGTGCCTGGCTCCAGCAAAGAGCACCATAGGAGAAGTCATCTGAAACGGACTTAAGAAACCGTTCTGGTTTCAGTTTTACCAGAACAACGTCTTTGGTTTCCTTTTTCCTACATTCAAACTGGGATTTGCTTTGGACTTTCCTCAGCTACTACAGAACTCCTTCAAAATTCACACAGGACACCCATACCCTAAACCCTACATAGCACTAAAGGAAAATGAAATTTCAGCAAAGCAGAAGATTACTTGGAAATCTCAGTTTCATTAATTCACTGCCACAGCTGTTAAGACTGCACTAGTAACAGCACAGACAAGAGGCCAACTGGAAGCACAGGAGAAAAAATGGCAGTGACAAAGGACTCCCTCAGCGTGACAAGCAGTAATCCAAATATTTAGCTGTTCATTTTCCCCATAAAACATATCCCTGGGTTTTAAACTGTCCCAGTTAGACAGTGAGATGCAAACACTTTGCAGAGGTGTAAGGAGAAAAGTAAACACTATACAGAGGTCAGATAACCTACCACAGCAAAAAGAGAACTGGGCCAACAGGGGAGGTAAACCAACATTTCTCTTTTTAGAAGCCCTAATTTCTGCCTGCTGCAGCTTCAGCCTGTTTCTGAATAACTCTCTCAAGATTTTAAGAGTGAAACATATTTTTCCCAGTTCTGGTACTTTCTAAATTCCTTGAACTGTCTGCTTTATAAAATTGGCTTCAGTGAAGTACAGCTACATGCATTTAAACAAATGTCAGCTACTTGGTGTGCAACTGGACAATCACATCGTTCTACATTCCCACTTCCACTTTTTAGCTCCAAATCAATTGCTGCTAAGTGCAGGCACTGGTTGTGGCCAATACTAACAGTAAGTGATGCAGCCCTTTTTACAGCTGATGGTGTGAATGTAACAGGTCCCACTTCAAAAAAAAAAAACAGGAAACATTAACAAATGCTTGGGGAACACACTGTGATTATTAATTTTACATGAAAAGCTGGAATTCCTTCCTTAGTCTGGCCAGTAGCAGAGAGCCTTCATCTACTCTTTCTATATTGCTATCAGAGAGATTGCAGTGCAGTGCTGGGTAGGTCCGGTGCAGGAAAAGTCAACTGCTAAAAGGCAATGGGTTATTTCCATGCCAGCCTTTTCTCTCCCTTCATTGCTCTGCGATACTGACAGTCCTCACATCCCTAGCAGAGTCCATACCTAGCCTTAACATACTGCATCAGGAATTAGGGAGGGCTGATTTAAAGAAAGAGGAGTTGCTGCAGGAGAAATTCAAGACCATTCTCAGAACAGACTGCATCTCTTCATAGAAAAATCCTTTGGTAACAGGAAAGGAACAGGGCACCAGCTCTCCCTTCCACCTGCTACTACTGAGATCCTCGAAACAAGCAATAATCACACCTCTCACCAGGAGGAACATTCCCTTGAGTCAGCCACTAAACCAACTTCAACATAAAAAGCTTAAACGCACAAGAACTTCATGCATGAGAAATTTACCAGTGTGCCTTAAATTTATTTTGCTGACTTGCTTCTGTCAGGCTGGAAGGTTGTGAAGCTACAATCCTCAAAAGGATGAGCCCAACAAGCACAGCAGGTTACAGTGTGGGGAGACAGGGATCTTCGGCCAGGGTGGAAGGAAACAGTGCTGAGCGTTAAGAGAATGAAGTTACCACTTTATTTTCAGAAGCAGCTGACACAATGCAACAACTCATTGTGACCAGAGGAGACGACTTATTTCGCTCCATCCTCATCTCCTGCCCCTGCCTTTTTTTGTATCAGGTCTGACACCACTGATCTTCCTCTGCCTCTCCACTACAAGCCAAACCTGGTGCTTCGGTGAGCTGAGTTGCCCACAGAAGGATGCACTCAGCACCAGAACTGGTCCAAGTGAGAAGGGTGGTGACAGCAGTGCACAACAAAATGGTTGGAGGAAGAGTGGAATGGCAACAGCACCCCAGCCACAGGGGTGAAGTATCGCAGCAACCTGCCCTGCTTCAGGAAGTCACACTTTAAAGGCCCAGAGAGTAAGAGGGTATTATTGCATAGAAAACAGAAACAATCTGCTACTCTGGCCACACATGCCAAAATCATAGCAACAGCTGTGTGAACGTCTTTTCCTTGTCAATTTTTTAATTTTAACATTTTCAAGTTTATTTTAAGTATAAAGCATAACAGCAACAAGACTTGGGAATGCTGTGAATAAAACCCAGCATCTAAACCAGGAAGTTACTTTAGAAAAAAAAAACAAACAACAAAATGTGAAGCTAGTTTTGGCAAAGTCCTGGGAAAAGAGGAGAAAGAGTAGTTAAAAATCTAACACACCATTTGCTTTTTATTTTAAATCACGTATCATAAATGTACACAAAAGGACGCATCATCAATTTTTGTTCACTGTAAGTCTATGAAATGGGAAAGTAGACATGTGGCATGAGTGAGGTCAGAAGTATAAAGACTGGTTCAAAACATTTCAAAATGTTGTGCTAACAGGATATTAACGGAAGCTTTTAAAGCCATCATGAATAGGCCTTGATTAGCGTCAGAGCTAGAATCCACACTACACACAAGTATGACATGGACTGAGAAAAGTCATTTTCCTTGTGTCTAATATATCCAGGAATTTCGGCTGTGAAGGCTACAACAGGGTTAGCATGATACCATTTTCTCTGATTTTGAATGAGTTAATTGACTAAATAAACTATCAGACAGTAAGTGCAAACTGCTGCACTACTTTGTCATGCTAAATTCACTTTTACAATGAGTCTTAATAAGGCTGAAGGAGAGGCAGCAGCATTTGAGATATTAAAAACCAGTCTAGCACCAAGCAGCTCCCAAAGACTAATTCCGTTACTGCCCTTCAGTGGACACCTTTTGGGGAGGGACCACTGAGAGAGCAAGGGAAAACCCACAGCATACTGCAATGGAAGTCACAAATGCCTGACACCTCGATAAGATAAAAAAAACTTTTTTCCTGAAGCTACACACAATTGAGATGAGACTCAAGGATGAGGACAACATTCCACCCATTACAGTAGGAATGTCACACTGCAACACCTTGAGGACTGTATATTATCAAGGTACTTTAGAACAGCCACTCCAAAACAGTACACTGCCTTCTTGATCCAGCCAACAGTCCAATAACACATACGTTCAGTGTAGCACTGCACTTCAGGAGTGTTTTTAAGTGCCCTCAAACTAAAGCCTCTTCTACATCAGCTATGCTGCAAATTCTCCTCATGTCCCTCACAACACACACGTGGTGAAAGGTTACTCCAAAATAAGAGGTTCATTTACATACCTCACCAAAGGCATCCAGGAATTAGACTTTTTGCAGTGCTTTGAAGGCATAGCAAACTGAGGCTGGAAGTTTTCCCAGGCTGAAATGTTTATCTTAACTTCCTTTATTTTTCTGCAGCACTTGCAGGTAGTCTTAGCTGCCTTAATCCTGCTCCTTCTGAAATCAGTGAAAACCACTTCCTGGGGATCACCAAAGCCAACATTAAATGCCTTGACAAAGCTTTGAACTAAGTGTATAACCTCAACTTCACTCTCAGCCAGATTCAGTTCCCCAATCCCTGTAAGCATAAGACAGCCGCTGTAAAAAAAAAAAAAAACAAACAAATGAACAAGCCAAACCAAAACGTAAAAACAAAAACAAAACAAAGCAAAAAAACAAATCAAAACCCTGGGTTTAAATGTATTCACCATTGCATCCTTTCCTGCAATTCAGATTTTGTAAACTAAATGCACATTCTAATTCTGAGATGCTTGCACTTTCGAAGTGTATCAAACTGAAATGACCATGAAGAAAAATTGTATTCTCGTTTGTATGACTGCATATTTACTGTCTGAGAACTCTTAGAGAGTCTTGTGCACAGAATTAGAGAGCATTTAGTTTTCAAACTAAATTTCTTGTCCTAGCAAAGTGAAAACCGATGTTCATGACTTCTAGGCAGGTACTTCTACAACTTCAAAATAGTCATTGGGTAGAATCACGTAGCCTTTTCCTGCCAGTATGTCTTTTTCTTTCTGAAACTGAACAACTTCTCTCAGTTTTTCAATTTGTTTTTCTTGACGCCGGCATCGCTGCTGCACTGTCTTGAGTTTCTTCCGCAGTTTTTCAACTTGCTCCTCCAGCTGCTGAATTCGTTTTCGTTGATGAACTGTATCCTCTACGGTATAGTTGTGATCACAAAAAACCGCAAGATTGCTAGGGGTCTGGAGAGGAGGCATCAATAATCCAATACTTGGATCAACTAATCTGGCATCTATCTGAGAGAGATGAAATGAAGGAGTTGACGGAGATGCTGGTAGTACTGGAGCTGCTGGTGGCGGAGGTGGCGGCGGCGGTGGTGGCGGCGGTGGCAGTGGGGGAGGCGGCAGCGGATCTTCTGGCTGTTCTGTAAATTCTTCAGGCTAGGAACAACAAGAAAAACGAAGTACATTTTCATGTTTAACATTGCTCAAAACACAACTCCCTTCCTACAACCCCAGAATAACATAAAACAACCAGGACTGAAATTGAGTAAATTTCAAAGCTTATATTTCCAAAATAGACATACAGTTCTGGGCCTGTTTTGTCTGGCTTCAAAACTGAAGACATTTTTTACGCAGCTTCATTTTCACAGCTCTCAAACTCAAGTCCTTGAAGTCTCAAATAAATGAAGAACTGAAGAATGTAGCAATTACTATCTGAGATATAGTAATATGCACTTGGAAACTTAGGTCAAATACATATCCACGATAAGCTATGAAGCAAGAAAGCAGGCTCCTGTTCCATCAAACGGAGTAACTCATCACTGCCACCCCATCCCCCTCTGTCCCTCCTTCTTTCTGTGGCATCTCACCATTACACCTTGAACATATCGGCTGACTTAAAAGTGCAGCAGCAGCAGATAATCTTCTGCTGAGGTGGAATAAGGATCACCTACTTATGGGGCAGAGCAGAGGGGTATACACAAGGCCTGCTTCTCAACAACTGGAAGGGAACGTGTCACTGGTTTCAGACTGCAGCATAAGGGTTTGGTTTCAAGAGACATGATGAACCAAAATAAACAGCTCTTCAACAGCAAAGCAGCCCTTCCAACCCTCGTAGTCTTTCCTCAAACACAGTAAGTTGCTAAGATGACAGAAAGCTATTTGCTTTTGCACCACCACTGCAAAAATCTCCGGTTCTTTATTAAAAATCAAAACAACGCACCACAAGGTATGACCTAAACCTGCTCTGGTGTATGGAAGGAGTGAGGAACAGGACTGCACGGCTGGCAGATGGGATGGAGAAGGAAGAAGCACGATTCTTCCTTTTGGCAGCAGCGGTGTATCGACTGGCTCAACGCCACACAAAACTGCAGTTTTTATCATACTGCTCTTGATAGGTTCACTTGCATGGCTCAGAACAACACAGATCCCTCACCACTCGAGCACAGGCCAGAGCAGAGAATCAGATTTGTTCTGCCCCAAGGGAATGAATTATAATTCAGAAATGCTTCTGTGCACATCATGATTAAAAAACACCCCACTACTTAAACAAAAGAGCTTGCATACTGCATGTCAAAAGAAAGCCTAAGACATTCTCAGTAAAAGAGGCACCAAACCAATTTTCTAGCTACCCACCTGTTGCCAATATTATTGCTATACATGAAAGCCTAAGGACAGGGAAACGTTCATCACCTAAATATCAAGCTCACCAGATCTGAAGGTCATGACTTGACCTTCCTTGACTTAACATGCAAACAAGATAATACTTGATATGAGGGGTTCTAGATATCCCTCTTGTACAAACTACAATGTTTGGTAGACAGTAACTGAGCAGGCGGTTTTGTGATTGGTGTTGAAGGGAAGTTTCATATGCACTCAAATATTACCTATCACTTTAAAATACAAAACCAGCCAACCATCACTCTTATTTCTCAATTACAAGAAACTGCTGTTAAGAGTGTGCCTGTCTAATTCACACATGAATATTCTAAAGAGTTTGACCCTATCAGCTATCACTTTCAAACTTTTCTACTAAAACAAAAATACAAGGCAAAGATGTAATCGGCAAAGACACACTCACCCTTGATGGAAGCACAAGCAAAAATCAGCTGGACAGCTGAATTCACACAGTGACTTCTGTTTCCAGCTTATCCAGCACATGCTACCTCTATAAATACGTTACTATTGCCACAACGTGTCACGGAGAACAGATCGTTGGTATCACTGACACATCATAAGTGAATTCTAACTAGTCCTTACAGACAGTAAATGGTTCTCCTAAGACATAAGTAAAGAAAAAAAGTATTTCAAATTACATAGTACAAAAGATAAAAAGCTCTATTTCAAAATTTGTGGATTCAATTCCAAAACAGCCACTGTTATTCTTCGTTACTATATTATTTCTTGAAGATATGTGGCAGTTTGTTTAAAAGTGCCATGAGACAAACAGGAATATCACTAAATCCTTGTCCATAATGAAAAGGCACTCTTTTTTGAGTTTTTGTAGATCCATGTATGAGGAACACGGCTCACCGCTAATCCTGATATGCCAATTGCCCTTCTGCAGATCACCCTGTAAACCCATTCAGCTTTCAGTCTCTAAAGTTTTGGAACTATTTTACACACAATACAGAAAATGTCTATCTCACAATAACAGGGAAGCATAACCAAGCAAAAACACAGCCATATTTACCTGGAAATTGTCTGGTTTTCCTTAAATACCTTCTGATTATATTCTCTTCTCTATCATCAGTCATATTTCAAATACATTCCCTTTTTTATTTCTGCATCAAATCTAATATTGTATATAAAGAGAAAAAAATCACACAAGCAAAAGCCCCTATTTCCCTGTGTGCACACCATCCCATTAGCCTTCCACCCCCTAGACCTATCATACCCATTCTCTCCTTTGCCACTTCCCCTACAGGAAAATGGCAAGAGATCTAATATTTTATGTTCTTTATAGCAGCTAAGAACCAAATGTTCCCATTCCTGTTTTGGAGCTATCACATCAAGAAGGAAGAACTCATAACTGACTTGCATCTATTGCAAGTTGCTTTAGCAGCAAAACACGTCACAGAAGACTGCCACCAGAAGTTCAGAGACAGAAGCTAGGGACCAGCCTGGCTTGTGAATTCAAGGTAACTGTTAAGGCAAGGAGGGATGGTTTCAGCACAGACAGGTTTCGGCAGGTGCAGCTACCGTTCTGCCCCTCTGCCCCTCACTTTTTAACTCCATGAAGCCAGAGGACAGAGCCCTTTAGAGAGGACAGTTAAGTTGCAGACCTAAGGCCCATCATCATTTCAGTGTTTGAAGGAGCCACCAGTCAGCATGGAATACTGCAGTACAACCCCATCATCACTTCAGTGTTGGAAGGAGCCACCAGTCAGCACGGAATACTACAGTACAACTTGCCAGTACTACTGAAGGCTCTCTAAAACTCCAAATATGCTACAAATACAGTCGAACAACTGAATTACAGGGCAGTACCCTCTATACTCTGCTGCCGTTCCACTTAATTCAGCACAAGGCTTCTGCATAGGCACAGAAGTGCAGATCAGAGCTACTGGAAGTTAGTGCGGTGCTCTACGTGCTACAGAGCCTCAGACAGCCTACATCTACATGAGAAAAGCGGCTGGATGTGTTCCAGTCACCACAGCCCTCCACGTGCCTCCAGCTGCACACGCTCTGCCGGCATCCTTCACAACCTGCAGTTTCTCCTGGCTGCCCTGCCACTTCGGGCCCTGAATACGCACAACACACAGCATTCCGGTGTCTGTACGAATGCTTCGGGTTTACCTTTTCGCTAGGTTCAGTGTAACAAAATATCGTGGGCACGGCATTTTCTTTCAGAAGCTTGTTGTTGCATTCCCTTTTAAAGCAGTCAGGAGTGAAGTGCTCTGAGCAAATGCTGCTGTACTTGGTCGGTTTGAAGTTTTTCCTTTTTACAGCAGCCTCCCATTTTTTGCAAAGATCAGGTCTCGTAAGAGGAAACCTGCAAATACGAAACACCTTCAGCTTTACGGGAAAGCTTGCTCACGGGGGTCGGGTTACAGCTGTGCGCTGCCGTGACTGACCGCACGACCACTTGGGTTTCCCTCTGACGGGCTCATCCTCGGAGCCGAACCCCTCCCGCCAACCCAGGACCGGGCTGGGGTTGAAAGACGCGGGGGAAGGGGGTGTGGAGAGAGGAGAAGGGCTCCCCCTCCCTCCCCGCGCAGGCAGGAGCCGGCACGCGGCGCGGGGCCGGATGTGGCTCTCCGCTCAGCGCCGGACACGCACAGCACTGACACGCCGGGAGCACGTCCTCCTCCTTCCCCCCGCCTCTCCTCTCCATCCCCCAGCCCAACCCGCCCCGACCCCCCCGCAGACCCCGGGCGCACGACCCCTCCGGAGGGGGGCGCGCGCGCACGGCCGCGGCCCCGCCTCCATGGCACCCCGGCCCTGGCCCGCCTCCCGCGCTCACTTGTGGAAGGAGATGGGCTTCTCTTTGTCGTATCGGTTCCGGCAGCGGTAGGCGGAACAAGACTGCACCATCCTCCCTGCCCCGCGCCGGCCGCCGTGCAGTAGCGGGGGTCGGGCTCACGGGACCGGTTAATTCACCGCCGAACGCACATCCTCCCATCAGCCTTCCCACTGCTCCCCCCCCCTCCCGTGACCCTCCGAGAGGCAGAGAAGGGGACGCGGCCTCTCCCGACTCCAATATGGCGGCGCCGGCTTCAAGGCAACTCTCGCGGTGGTGGCACGCTCGGCGCCCGCCCATTGGCGAGGAGGATCAAAGGGGCGGAGCCGCCCTGGCGAATCCTCCAATCGGGGCGCCACCTGCAAGCCCGCCCTACCACCTCACCCGCCCCCAGCTACCACATCTGGGCAGCGGAGGCTGCTGTGCCCCACGGCTGCTTCCTCCTGACGGGCCCGCCCCTCACCGCCCGGCCCCGCCCGGCCCGACCTCCCGTGTGTCCTGGCGGGGTCGGAGCGCGGCCCGGCGGCTGGCTCTGCAGAGACCCGCCGGCCGCAGCGGGGTGCTGGCGCTGCAGAGGCCGGCTGCGGTCCTGCCCGCGCTCCGGCCCGGTCTCCAGCGGGGAAAGGCCGTGAGGGCGGTCCTCCGCCGGGGCCTCTCCGGGGCTGCTCGCCCCACCCGGCGGGCAGGACAGAGGGCGGGCACACGGGGCTGTCACAGGGTCCTTGTGCCCACCCCGGAGGGTCTCCAGGCTCTGATAGCAAAATAAATAAAAGGGAGAGCGGAGGGGGGGAGGGAGGATAACAACAGAAAGACCACATTGCCATGACGGGCCCTTGCATGAAGGAGGTGTAAAACTGCTCCCTTACAGTCACCGAAATTTGGCTTGCAGGTGTATTAGATAGCAGTGTAAATAAACCGATCTGGCATTATAAGTAAGTTTATTTCAAGCAGTTGCTGCGTTTTCCTGTTCTGCAGGGTCACCTTCGGGCTCTGCATTAGATCAGTGAGTTAAACCATCCTATGTAACTGACCAACAGATCTGTCAGAGCACTGATGAAAGTGTCATCTCTATCATGTATCACACGACACCTAGAATTTCTCTGGCAATGACCCCACAGCCAAGTGAACCTCCCCAGTCTTTTCTCTGGACCTCATTTTCTCCTCAGTCTGTTTTCCCTCAGTTCACTTTGTAAGGGATAGAAGAGAAGTTGTACAGATCTTAGCTGGGAGGCTGCGGTGCCTCTCCCTAGACAGCGATTTGTGCCCGGCTTCAGAGAAGATGCCATTCACTGCCGTTTGCTCACCCAGGAATACGGCAGGAAAAGCCCGTACATTGAGGAGCCGCAGCAACGCAGCCGCTGGCATTCACAGCTCTCAGTATCCAGTGCTGGCTGAGTACAGCTAACTCTGCCCCACTGCTGCTAGGTCAGCCAAGGAAACAAAAATAAGCTACCACCGTCCACACCAAAAAAGACATGCCTACTCCTCCTTTAGCCACCCAAGTGCCTCTGTTTCTGGCTTTTGCCTGGCAGCTTTCTTCTCCCTAGAGTCCTGCTGCCCACAGTTCTTTGGGCAGCGATTCTGCTGCAGCCTTGAGAAGTCAAGCTGGGGGCAGCCACAGCCACGCCTGGCCCTCACCAGCCAGAGCAGAGTCCTGTAGCACGGAGCAGGGCTTGGCTGCGCACACTGACACACCCCGACGAGGCGAGGTGATGAACCAGGTACTAGGTCCACCCCAGGGAGCCCGGGCAGGAGCAGCGGTGGATGATGCCAGGGACAGAACGGGAAACACAGGTCCAAGGTCTACCCAGGAAATGGGGCTGGAGATGGGGCTGGAACACTCGCGACATAGCTGGGCAGGGACTAAAGGGCCTGCACTGAGTTCAAATGGAGCCCCTGCCCTGTGGGCAGGGTGTGTAGCTAGGGGTCCCAAGGTTGGTGAGTCAAGGTCATCAAGGACTCCACTTCTCCTGTGGATTTGAAGAGGCATGCCTGGGGCAAAGTCCTTCCTGACTTGACGACAGCATCTCTGCTTCCTCCCCTGCTCTGGGTTTTGGAGCAAATATGGGCACAGGAAAGGATGGCCATGAATCCAGTGGGGCCACAGCAGAACTCAACAGTGAGCTGCAAAACACATCCTGTGAGAAGAAGCACTTGGTCTTGATGTGCGGGGAGAAAGCATGAGTAGACTGCAGCGGGGTGATGCTTAATTGAGGGGATGCTGGTGGATCCCAGCACTTATGGGAGGAACTGTCAAGAAGCCACTGAAGCCTTCGGTCAGCAACCCAGCTTAAAGGAGAGCTTTTGGCAGCTCTGTCAGGATCACATTAGTATCCCCAGCAGAAGGGATTTTTAATGGACTGGGTGGAAAGCAATTTCCTCATCCTGTAAGAATTTTGGGGACTTGGAAAGGGGCAGAAGGAATTGTCTCCAGTGAAGGTAACAACTAAATACTACCCCCAAACTGAAAAAAAAAAAAAACAAACAAACAGTACTTTCACGGTTCTGTAATGTGGAAGAGACATCTAAGGTTTTTCAAACCCTGTCTCTAAACTTTTTATTTTTTTTTATTTTTTTATTTTTCAGAGGAAAAGCCACACCAGCGCTGTCATCTCCTTCTTGTGAGTGACTTTTCTTGGGCTGGTCGGCATGTTTCCCGACGGCCGAACGTTCTTCACTCCCCAGTGAGTCAGACGCCAGCGGCACAGTCGAGAAGCACGAATCCTCGACACCTGCACCACCACCCCGCGCCCGTCCACCACGGGCACAAACCACGATCACCTTCTCACTGCAGCCCCCACGCATGGGCCTTGCCGCGCTTCCCTCACGGACGAGTGAGCCGTGGCTGGAGCATCCCCGGGGAATGCCCACGGGGAACCCCTCGCCCCCGGCAGCTCCTCTTCTCCCGCTCCGCAGCCTCGGGGCGAGTTTTCAGGGAGTAGAAGGGGGGTGAGCAGCGCGGTTTCCTCGCCGGGGCTGCTGCGGGGGAGCCCGTTCGCGCAAGCCCGGCGGGTGCGGGCAGGAGCGGGGGGGGGGACCGGCGGTGGCGGTGGCGGGGCGGGACGGCGGCGGGGCCGGGGCGTGGCGTGGGGCCGGCGGCGCCGAGAGGCGGCTCAGTTCCCGCTGCCAGCCGAGGGCGGCCGGCCCCGCGGAGCAGGCGCTCAGCCCGGCCCGCCCCGCGCCGAAGCCGCCGCCGCCGGCCGGCGAGGGCGGCAGGATGAGCGGCGGGCGTAGCGGGCGATCCGCTGTGAAGATGGAGGCGCCGTTTTACCCCGAGGAAGGACTGGAGCTGCTACCCGACTTCGTGCCGCTGCCGGGCTTCGGTACCGCCGGCGGCCCCGCGGCTGATGCGGCGGCGGGGCAGAAGCTGTTGCTAGGTGCCGGGAAGAAGCGGGACCTGGCGGCTGCCTCCCCCGCGCCGCTCCCGGGGCCCTTCGCTCTCCGCCCGCCCGCAGGCGCCCGCAGCAGCGCGGCGGCTCTGCGCTTGTTACCGCCGCCGCCGCCAGCCGCCGCCGTTCCGCCGCCGCCCGCCGGCTCCGCGGAGCCGGCGGGCGGCGGCGGAACGGCGGCGGCTCGCGGCGGCGCTGAGGCCGCGCTGGGCTCAGCTGCGGAGCTGCCGCTGCTGAAACTGCCGCCGGCCTCCGACCTGGAGCAGCTGCTGATCCAGGGGGGCGCGGGGCTGGGCACTGGCAGCCCAGGGCCGGCGGCGCCCGGCTCAAGCGGCAGCGGGGCAGCGGGGCCGTTTCTCTACCGACAGCCGGTGACGCAGGAGCAGGAAGGTTTCGCCGACGGTTTCGTCAAGGCCCTGGCCGACCTGCACAAGCAAAACCAGCTCCTGGCGGGGCCGCCGCCGCCACTTTCCACGCCGGGACCCTGCTGCACCTCCCGCCCGGGGCCCCCGGGAGCCGCCGCCGCCGACCCGCCGGCCGTCTACACCAACTTGAGCGGCTTCAACCCCGCGGGGCCGCTGAGCCCTTCGGGCAGCGCCTACTCCGCCGCCTCGGCCCCGCCGCCGGGGCCGCCACCGGGGCCGCCGGGCTTGGCCTTCGGGTCGGCGGGTCTGGGGACCGCTCGGCTGCCGCCCGCGCGGTCCCTGGAAGAGCCGCAGACGGTGCCCGAGGTGCCGCCGTCGGCGGGCGTGGAGGGCGGCAGCAGCGCGCCGACGCCGCCGTCGCTGTCGCCGCTGGACGCGGAGAGCCAGGAGCGGCTGAAGGCGGAGCGCAAGCGGCTGCGGAACCGCATCGCCGCTTCCAAGTGCCGCCGGCGGAAGCTGGAGCGCATCGCCCGGCTGGAAGAGAAGGTGAAGGCGCTTAAGGGGCAGAACGCCGAGCTGGCCGCCACCGCCAACCTCCTCCGCGCGCAGGTCACCCAGCTGCAGGGCCGCGTCCGCAGCCACCTCTCGTCCGGCTGCCACATCAACGCCGCCGGCCATCCTCCACCCGCCGCCGCCCAGCGGGAGGCGCCCCCCGAGGCAGTCGCCCCGCCGGAGACTAGCGCCTGCTAAGGGGGGACCCCGCTGAGGGGGGACTCCGCCACCGACCCGAGCCGGGATCGGGCCCTGAACCGTCCTCGCCCGCCGCCGGGGCGGCGCGGGGGCTCCGCGGGGCTCGCCCGCCGCAGCTCTCCTGTTGTTGTTGTCGTCATTATTATTATTATTAATTATTACTATTTATTTGCGCCCGGAGAAGGCGTTTGCAGGAGCCGGGTGTTGCTAAGCGTTTCCTGAGGACTGTCGATGTTGCTCTCGGGAGCGAGGGTATTCGTGGGTGGTTCTGGGGCAGGTGGTTGGCTGTTCTCTTTCAGTGAAGTACGTGAGGTCTGCAGAGATTTCGGAAATTAAGATAATTCCTGTTTACAGAGAGATTCAACTTTATTTTAATGGGGGATATAAAAAGTGTGTTTCCTAATACACCTTTACTGAACTGTATAGCAATGGATAAGCTTTTCAAACTCAAAAAAAAAAAAAAAAAGCCAGAATCGTACCCTTTTGAGAAGATGTGCGTGTATATATATATATATATATATATATATTTAAAACATGATACGGCTATGTATATTTTCTTGGTATTGATAAAGAACTTTTTTAAAAATGCTGTCTTTCTCTAGAGCTTTAATTTGCCATTGAGAGTTAAGACAACTATGTGGGTGCTCTTGCACTTACATGGCTTCCGTTTTAAAATCAAAGCCTGGAGGGGAATGATTTTTGTTGTAAAATCTGAAGCAGAATGAAATGCATTGCTGACTCAGTCATTTGAAGATACTTTTCTAAACCGTACGCTCCATTTTTCTTGTGCAAGTGCAACCTTGGGGCATTGATAGTTACTTATTGAAACTTGAACACTTTTGGACGTTGCCTAGACCTTATTTTTCTAGATAACATGTTAGTAGAGAAAACCGTTACTTGGGCAAGAAGAGCTTTACTTTTTTTTTCCTTCACTGTGTACATTCCAGTGGTGTTTGCTCTTTACATAGTATAGTAACAGTTCAGTGCTATACAGAAAAGGGCTTAAGTTTGGGGTGGGTTAGCTATAAAGGTGGCAATTCCATTGTATACTGTTTGAATAAATCACAGAATTATTATGGAAAAGTAGATTTATTTTTGAGTAGAAATCTGTGTATCTTGCTTCTTGATCTGTTTTTTTTTTCTGAAGAAACTTTATGCAATACTCTAGATACAGAACAAGTCAACACTAGAGTGTTAAAAGTTTTTCTGGTTGGAAAAACTTGGTGTGATTTATTTCTTTGTCAAGATTTTACCAGTAGAAGAGTAAAGCAAATTAACTATTTCCTCCAATTAGACATAATCCTCAATAACTTTTTGAAAGCTTTAGATCCCTTGCTCGGTGTTGTTGCCTATCTTGCTTCTGCCAGACCTGCGTATTTTGAGCATAGCCGCTATCGCAGCGCTGCTGAGCCCTGTGGCGTGGTGCAGTGGGAAGGGTCTGTCAGAGTGTGATGGTCACCCCACTAGAAGCCCCCCCGTTGCAGGGGCTGGCTGCAGCTGGGGCATGGCAGGGCTGATCCTGCAGATCCAGCTGCAGAGTGGGGCCCGCTCCCTCCTTGGAAACTGTGCCAAATGATCTGCTTGAACTCAGAGGCATAACTTAAATGGGGATAATGTGTCTGTGCCAGCTGGTGAAAATGGGGGATTGTACGAGGAGCCAAGGGGCATAGGCATGTTTATGTGTATGAGCCATTGCTCAGATCTGTTAAAGCCACTCAGGAGCTGTTAAAACATCTCTTGCTTCTTCTGAAGGATACACTTGATGCTTTGAAATTCAAGAGGGTCAGGATAGACTCACAGTTTTTCTTTCTTCTATTGGGGATACGTGAGTGCTATCTGTTCAGAAGGTTGAGCTGTAGCAGTCAAGTGTGTGAGCTTTTTCTTTTAGTGCATAGTCATTCCTGGCACACTCATTAAATGACATGACAATGCGTAGTAATTGTGTTATTGTAGCTGAGATGCTCCGAGGCTATTTCATTACTTAACACATATGCAAATTAGGTAGAAGCCATATTAATCATTGTATAACTGTTTAATCATGTCACCAGAGCCTTTTTCAGTGGTTGAAATGACTGCCTGTAACAATACCTTCTGCTGTTAGAAATACTAATGAACAGATAAAAAAAAAATATTTTGATCTTAACCAGGTTTAAAGACTTTTTAAAGGCATTCTGAACCAGACAGCATACAATCTGTAGCACTGCCTGTTACATAATAACTGGGTGAAAAAGAACTTTTTCTACTGTGTGGCAGGCACCAACCTATCTGCAAAAATGCTGCGAGACTGGAGAAACTGTTAGAGACTTCCCTCCCTCAACCCCTTAACACACTTTTACTAGTGAGAAAGGTAATGCTGCCTAGTAGATTCACTGATTTGATGTGCTCAGCTTTATGTGTAATGAGGTGAGTTTTTTTTAAGGAATCCTTGAAAAATTCTTAAAGATCATATGGATGGACACTGCTGTTTCAGTTCTTGTATTTGAAAATGGGCATAGGTCTAGGTAAAGATCTTACAGTAGGAGACAGGGCAGTGATAACCGCAGCTGTGCAGCACTTGTTCTTTACTTATTTTACCATTTCTGGTCAGAATGAATTAGCAGTGTCCAGGAAGAAGTGGGGGATCCATAGAATATAGGAAATCACTGCAGTCCCGCTTCCCAGCCAAGGACAGGGCTATAATGAGCAATAACCTGGCAGCATTATAATAAGCTCCCCCTTTTCAGCGTGGTAGGTTTAAAGCTGGAAACCACCGCATGTTACCTGTCTCCCATTCAGACTTTCTGCAAGAGCCATTCTGCATCCAGCCTCTCAAAGATCTCATGTGGTAACTTCTCTGATAGCCTGCTGTATGTTCTGCCGACATCTCTTAAGTGGTAGAAGTGCTGAGAGTGCCAGCTCTGTTGCCCTGATGAGTGGAGAGGTTAACTGTGAGGCTGGCTGCTCCAGCCTCTCTCTCTGAGAGGCTACTATTCTGGTAGCAGAGCTGTCCAAAGAAATGCATTTTCTGTAGAGTGACAGGTTATCTTCGTAAATGCCTCTATTTAGCTGGTATTTATTATGAGAATCTAACACTGATGTGACCAAAATCTGAGTATGAGGGGTGGGGTGAGGTTTTTTTCCCTTATTAGTACTGCTCGAGGTTGCTTCATCTGCAGCAGAGATATGAATGGATAGCCTGAGCACTAGTCTGAACAAATACAAGGCTTGGGAGTGCTTGCCTGCTGCAGCCATTAGGCTTGGTTGTTACCATCTTCTAAAACGTATCAGTACTCATTTTACCCCTGCACTCTTCCTAAATCCTTAAATATGGCTTCTCTATTTTATCCTGCCTTTTTTCTTCAGTTTGCTGCAGCATTTTCCACGTCCATTTCTTTTAGGTTTTGATTTTCTGCCTAAAACTTTGGTCACTGTGAGTTGCTAAAACATAGATTCTGAGTAAAACTTTTTCAGACTGTTCATATGATTTGCAGCAGTGTAGCTCCTTTTCAGTAACTGCAGGCAAGTAGTCTGTGTATCACTACTAAAAACACACCCAACCCTGACCCCCCCCCCAAAAAAAAAACAAACAAAAACCTGCAAGCATAACACCAAAAAAACCCAAGTAAAAATAAACAGTAGAAAAGCAACAACAACAAAAAAACTTTTTGTCAGTGGAACCTTAGTGGGTTTTAGCATTTTTCTTCATCCTTCAAAACTGTACTGTGATTTGCTATACTTACTATACCTGCACACACCATTCGCTAGGCCTTAAATGATTCTCACTGTGTAGCTTGATTTGCAGGCTACCCTTATGCCCTTCATGATCTGATTTTGCACACCAGGTGCAAACCCACGACAAATAAACATCCCTCTTTGTTCTTTGCCCTACGTGTGATCTCTGCTCTAGAGATTATGCAGTCCCTTTGTCTAGTTTTGTTGGTGGGTGCTTGCTCATGTGCATATCTCGCTTGCTGCTCATCGGTGTATTTTGAATGTGCTTGAACCAAGGTCTTGACCTAGATGTGAAGTGCCTTCTTATTAAGGTGCTACAGCACAATAGTTTGATTCCTAAAAGGCTTTCATTTCTTTGAACTGTTATCAGATCTTTTCTACCTTGGGGAGGAGGAGTGTTTGTGGTGAGGGAAGTCATGTCCAATCCTTCCCTGGGCAGAGGGAGGAGCTCCCATCTGCTCTGCCCCTGCTTGCTGTGGGTGCAGGGAAGTGCCATGACTAGTTCAAATGATGTCATTACTAGAAAAGCTGATTGGTTTGCTCGCCAGTGTAGAACAGGTAGCGAAATCTGTCAGTATCACAAGGTGTCCAGACAGGCCCATGTGGTTGGTATGTGGTTCTTACAGCTTTCACTGTGAATGCAGGTCGAGCCCATCTGGCAATGGTGGCTTTGAGAGCAATTCCTAAAACAGAAGTGCTTTACATAAATTGAGAAGTGTAGGTGTTTGGGGATGGTAAGTCCTGATTACGAAGAGGGTTGAGTTGGTAGTGGTGGCAGTCATGACATTTTTATCATGAGCCTTTCCTGGTCTCGCAAGAGGTAAATACCTCATAGGATTTGGACTGTTCACTGTATGTTATAAATCACTATTGACTATCTTGCACTGTTCAAGATTAAAGAGTGGCCCTACTATAATTCTCTATTATCTTGGTTTGTGTTTATGTCATTACTGAAGGAAGTCACGAGGCATCCTTTATTTTTCCATTTAGATGTCTGATTGACTGTGTCTGTCTCATCTTTGACATAGGAATGATCTCCCAAAGTTAGGCCCAGAGGCATTCTGCAGTTTGCAGCTGTTAAAGTGGAACTGGTTTCTACTCATTACGTAGCTTGATGATACTGTCCAGATTATTGTGTAGTATTGTTCAGTGGTGTCTGAAGTACAGATGCATGAATTAGTGCATCTGTAGTCTGAATTACCAGTTATGCTGAAAATAGTGACTTGGCTGCCGTAACCTGAGTCTTGGCTATTTGAATCCAGTAGTTTCTTGGAGAAAATTCCTCTGTATCTGAAATTAATATGCAAGAAAAACCCCACCAAAACCATCTTCTTGTAACATAAGTAATTCTTGATTGCATTTTATGTGCCCTTCTGCTTCTGGAGTGCAAGTTAAAAAGAAAAAGTGATGAGTTACATTTTCATTTATTCTTACGTGCAGCTGTAACTGCTGCTGGATAATTTTGCTCATTCTTTACTTGATTCTGTAGGTTTCTATGTTTAGCAAGTAGAAAAATTGGAGTATTGTGTACATATTTGATTTGTACAAAACCGCTTACATTTTCCAAGTATTTTGTTTGAAGTTTTACTTGTAACCAAGGGTGAGCATTGAAGAGTTCGTAGACTTTTTTGTCATTCTTTGGTTGCTTCATCTGGTCAGTTTTGTGTACAGTGACCATGCAAATTCCAGCAGAGGTGGACAGTAAAATCTTTCAGGGATTTGCCTTTTTTAACAATTGGCCCTACCTTTACCAGTAGAAAAAGCTTTGAACAGAAAGCTTTCAGAGTGCATAACAATCCGGCAAATGTTCACTGTTCTTTCTAATGCCACAGTCAGTTGCTGTGGGGCTACATCAGTATTCACTGTACCTGATACAGTATGATAAGTGTTCCTGTGACAAACTGCAGAATCTGAAGTTTTGTATAAACTTGTTAATCCTGCTGCACATGGCAAAACTTTACTGTGAAGGTGATGAACTAAAACTGGATTTATGAAGACTTAAGGTGAGGTGTTGCAGTATGTCATAGGAGACAAGAGGCCATGTTGAAGTGGCTTGCAGCTGTTTGTGCTGTGAAATCTGTCTGTGTAATGGCTCGTGGTAACTCAGAGGTGGGACAGAAGCCACTTCTGCACAAAGTGGTCATGTGTGACAAACTAAATGTAGGTTTCTAGAAAAACACTGCCACAGTGAGTGCGCAGTGGAGAACTTGTAATGTCCATGTGTTGTTAAGTCTAGAGATATATGCACCTAATTCATAACAAGTGCAGCCTTCTGAGACATCATCCTGTTAACTTGCTACTGGCATTGATTCTTGCTGCTTGCTTTACTCCAGAAGAAGTTTTCCTGAGCCTTTGCATACCAGAAGGTTTGCTTT